TAATCCCAGCACTTTGGGAGGCCAAGGCGGGTGGCTCACCTGAGGTCACGAGTTCAAGACCAGGCTGGCCAATGTGTTGAAACCCCATCTCTACTAAAAATACAAAAATCAGCTGGGTGTGTTGGCGGACACCTGTAAATTCCAGCTCCTGGGGAGGCTGAGGCAGGAGAATTGCTTGAACCCAAGAGACAGAGGTTGCAGTGAGCTGAGATAGTGCCATTGCATGCCAGGCTGGGCAACAAGAGCGAAACACTGTCTAAAAAAAAATGAAGAAGAAGCAACTGATGATCAAGTAGGACCCACTTAATCACCTGGTATTTGCATGGGCAGAGGGGGAGGCAGAGATAGGGTCTCACTCTGTTGCTGACACTGGAGTGCAGTGGCACAGTTATGACTCGCTGCAGCCTCAACTTCCTTGGCTCAAAGGTTTGATTTTTGAGGTATAAATCAGGTAATAATGTTTTCAAGTATAGGTTTAAACAAGAATTTCGAGCAGTTTCTTAGCCACATGTTAAAGCCACTTGGAGAGACCTCTGAAAATTCCTGGAGATTTCTATGTCATTGATCTGGGGTGCTGCCTGGGCAATAGTTTTGTGTTTGTTGTTTATATTATCTTTTGTTTTTGGAAACAGTCTTGAACTTACAGAGTTTGAATCCGTATGATTTTAAAAAGCCTCCCCGCCCCCCCAGTCATTTGAGAATTAACTGCTGATCCAATGCTCAGTCACCTGTAGCCTTTTCACCAATAGTATAGTATATTTCTAACAAAAAGAACCTTCTGGTGTAGAACCAGAATATAATCATCAAAGGAAAAAATCAGCACAGTGATAATTGCTACCACTTCAGCTGCATTCAAGGTATGACATTTGCCACACACTGCATTTGGGTTACTTCTTTTCATTCTCCTTTCATTTGGAACCGTTTCTCAGTCTTTCCTTGACTATCATGGCCTTAAAACTTTTGAAGATTGTAGGCCAGTTATTTTGTAGACAGTCTCTGAATGCGGAGTTGTCCGGTGGTTCCTTTGATGGTACTCAGGTTATACACATTTAAAAGGGGTATCGCAGAATTGATGCTGTGTTCTTATCTATCATGTAACTCACAGTTTAAATTTGTGCCATTGCTGACGATGTTCACATGGATTACTTGATTAAGGTGGTATCTTGACAGGCTTCTCCTTTACATAATTACCTTTTCAACCCTTTATTACAAGTATTTTATGGGGAGATGCTTTGAAACTATGTTACTATTCCATTCCTCATCATTTCAATTTATTCATTTGCTTATTTATCTCTGTATGAACTTGTGTTTTCCTATTTTCTACAATGGCTTATAGTCTCTTACTATAATTATTTATTTTGATGCTGATGTTGTTCCAAATTTAGCTTGTAGGAGCACTTCACACTGTCTTTTGTGGTCATTAGATGGATCCCATCATACTTGGAGCACTCCTTTGCTTCTTGGCAAACGTACATTCCAAGTTCATCTTGTACTTTTCTTATCCTACCCCGAGAATTAGCTCTTTTTCCAGAGAACTCTGGTTTATTTAGTGAAGAATGGTATTTAGAAGCCACAGAAGAGGGTGCTAAGTGCGTTCATTATTTGGATGTTGCTTGTTCTCTAGCCCTCAGAGTTACAGAGCTAAGGGAATAAGAGTGTATGCAAGTGTATGTGAGTGTGTGTAGGAATATATACTCAAATATGTACACAAAGTTACAGCTAATACTTATTATGTCTATATATATTGAAAACTATGAGTTCATGCCAGTAATTTAGATCCAACCCCACAGAGTTCATTTGAGTTTTCTCCCTTTTCTTCCATTTGTGTAACTTACTTTCTCAACAGTGAGGAACCTGGGTGTCATTATTCTTAATATACTTAAATAGTCCATCAGTCTCCTGTATGTAACCCATCTCCATCACCACCCCCATGGATGCCTTCTCTGTGTAGATGCCCATTGCTCTCTGCTTGGGCTCTGACCCAGAACAGGGATTTTTTTAAAACTCCTCAAATGGTGCTAATATGCAGCCTAGATAGAGAACACAACTGAATTAGAAGAAAGGTGAAACCCACACTATTTGATTTATTATAAAGTAAATGGCAGGTTTTTAAGCCGGATTGGCAAAGTAGATTCTTCCTAAGGAAGTGAAATTTAAAGAGAAGACTCAATCCTACCAAGATGAATGATAAAAAACAAAACAAAAAACGGGGTGCAAGTATGGCCTATCTCCTGGAAAGCTTTGAAATATATTTGTTTTAGAAATGAATTTACTTCTGTTGAGCATGAATTTCAGTCTGTTTCCCTGAATAGCCTTTTTATAGGGAAAATATTTGAAAGGGTTAGTTTGTTTTTGAAGAATGTGGTTCACTGAAACTTATTCCATTTTGTTTTATGTTATTTTGAGACAGAGTATTGCTCTTGTTGTCCAGGCTGGAGTGCAGTGGCGTCATCTCGGTTCTCTGCAACCTCTGCCTCCCAGGTTCAAGCAATTCTTTTACCTCAGCCTCCTGAATAACTGCGACTACAGGCACCTGCCACCACACCCAGCTAATTTTTGTGTTTTTAATAGAGATGGGGTTTCACCATGTTGGTGAGGCTGGTCTCAAACTCCTGACCTCAGGTGATCCAACCCCCCTTGGCCTCCCAAAGTGCTGGGATTACAGGTGTGAGTCACTGCACCCAGCCAACATTGCATTTTTAAAAATAAACTTTTAATTTTAGATTTAGAAAAAAAAAATGACAACCTAAAACTTTTTTATTTGTAAATGCCAAATCTTTAAACAGGAAAATTCAGGCTATTGTTGCTCCTTTTCTGTAGTTGGTTTCACTGTAAAATGTGGAAGCCAGATTACAGCAATTTGGGCACAAGGAACCCCATCCATTCCTTCCACTTGCAGCCCAAGGAAGCAAAAGGCTTTTAGAGCCAAATAGAACAGAATCTGTGGCCAGTCTACCTGAGATGGTCAACATCCATCTTAACAGTTTTTGTAAATCCATTTTCTTAAAGGAGGACCCTGCTGCTGCAGGTGGATATTCTCCACGTGTTTCACACCTAGACAGAGGCACACAATCTGACTCCAAAGAAATCCAGCCTTAAGGAAATTTCAGTAAAATTTTGTCCTTGGTTGTGTGGATTTTGCATGTTAGGCTTTTATATCTTTAAACCCAGAGGTGCAGGAGAAAGGCTAATATCTGAATGTGGACAAAGTGACAACATGTAGGTAAAATAATTTTTTAAGTCTTTTTTCTATAAATAAAACATTATTATGTATTCACAGGAACCCCCCTCAGTTTTCATCCATGGTTCCTTTTGTACAGTTTCAGTATGTTAAACTAGATCTCTGCTTCCCAAACTTGAGTCCTTCAGGAACCATCTTAACCTGTTATTCACTTAACCTTTAATTTGACTCACTTGTAACTTGGCCTTATTCTAGGTGGTATCTGTGAAACCATGGGTTTGTTATCTGTTCGGTATTTGTGAGGACCTGGGAACTAGATCTTTTAACTCTCCTAGCAATGAAATTACGTAAGCATAGAGTCTGGGGTTTCCCACTGTGAGCTTTGAAGTTAAGGTGGTTGGTTGAGTGTATGGTTTTTCCCAAGTGATACATAGAGTGAAAATTGACAGCATTCCAATAAATGTTAGTTTTCAAGTGTGTGCTGTAAATTATATTCTCTTAATTTCTTTTTTTTTTTTTTTTTTTTTTGAGACCGAGTTTCGCTGTTGTTACCCAGGCTGGAGTGCAGTGGCACAATCTCGGCTCACCGCAACCTCCGCCTCCTGGGTTCAAGCAATTCTCCTGCCTCAGCCTCCCGAGTAGCTGGGACTACAGGCGTGCACCACCATGCCCAACTAAGTTTTGTATTTTTAGTAGAGACGGGGTTTCACCTTGTTGACTAGGATGGTCTCGATCTCTTGACCTCGTGATCCACCTGCCTTGGCCTCCCAAAGTGCTGGGATTATAGGCGTGAGCCACCGCGCCCGGCCCTCTTAATTTCTTAAGATTCAGAATATTTCTCTAACTAGAATGTTTATAATTGTATATCATTAACCTGATTAGTTCATCTGTACAGGAAAATGTAATAGTGAATTCACCCAATAGGGAATATGTTTGTTTGTTTGTTTATTTTTGAGGCTGAGTCTGGCCCTGTTGCCTGGGCTGGAGTGCAGTGTCGCTATCTCAGCTCACTGCAATCTCTGTCTCCTGGGTTCTAGTGATTCTCCTGCCTCAGCCCTCGAAGTAGCTAGGACTAAAGGAGTATGCCACTGCACCTGGCTAATTTTCATATATTTAGTAGAGGTGGGGTTTCACTATGTTGACCAGGTTGGTCTCAAACTCCTGACCTCAGATGATCTGTCTGCCTTGGCCTCCCAGAGTGCTGGGATTACAGGCATAAGCTACCACGCCAGGCCTGGAATACACTGATTTATAGGACTCTCAGTGCCTGCCTTAAAAACACAAGTAGAAAATATATAAAACATATAGTATTAATAAATACAGAGAAAAAGTTTAGAATACAGAATATAGAGCTTTATGTTCACCACTCTGAATATGTCATGGGAAAACATCTAACTTAGGATAAATATGTATGTCCCATAATTGAGTTAATATATTCTACATTATCTGTGGAGGAATACTGCTCAAAAGCCATCTGGATGTTGTCATATTCAAATCAGGTCCTTTGCTGAATGGAAATTCATTAAGTGTGTGTGTGTGTGTGTGTGTGTGTATTCTTTTAGGTAGGTAGTATAAAAGCTCACCTTAATAGGCGTCTTTGAAACTAAACTTAATGTCACGTTTTGCAAAAGGGGTGACAAACCAAGATGTGGGAATAATTAAATGTGAGTTTTATGCATCTTTTTGGTTTAAATGAAATACTATGTTCTACTCAGAGGCAACGTGCCGTGTTGCACACTGTTTACAAGCATTTACTTTGCTACAGAAATGGGTTGTGACTGTAGATGTATGACCTTCTGCTATGATGTTACTTTAACAGAGAGAAGGAGCAAGAAAGGGAAGAACAGTTAATGGAAGACAAGAAAAGGAAGAAAGAGGATAAAAAGAAAAAAGAAGCCACTCAGAAGGTGAGTTTCATTAATTAAGTCTGTCTTTCTATCTGCTAGGCATCCAGAATAAGAAACTGTCTTGGCTTGAATACCCAATATCTCAATAATGGTACTTGAGACGTTAGTTTACTTAAAAGTTTTCATATTTAGAGGCAGGAGAAAGTTCAAGGTCTGCATTTGTTACCATAAAGTAGAGGTTAAATAATACTGTAGCTGATTTGTTGAAAACAACAGTAAACAGTATTGAGAAAAGCAGGAGAGTTTTCAGACTCTCAACTCTTGTTGTATTTCCTTATTTGTATATTAATTTAGTCTACATTTTCTTAAGCAAGTCTACAGAATAACTTTTAAAAACTGGCTGGAGGTTGCTCCAGTGTTTTTTCAGTTTATCCATCGTGCTGTTGTCTAGATGAGGATGAGTCTACCTTTGGAGAATTCCATGTAGAAACCCCCTTGGAAAGGATCTAGTGAGCCCATGTAGTGCTTTGGAGGATAAGGCATTGCATGGTTTTGAGGAATTGCTTAGAGAAAACAGAAGAGATGCTAAAAGTATAAGGCAGAGGGCTGATGGCTGTCTCCTGTAAGGTCTCAGGTGAGCGGTTTGTCCGGCAGAGTTGTCCAAGGCAGAGTGGCTAGAATGCGCCTGCCCTCCCCGTTTGCTTCAGAGCATGCCCCTCTGCCCTGGCCATTGTCTGATCTTACCTGCTTCCCGCACCTTACCATTCTTTTTGCATCTCTTAACTTGATCTCTGGCTCAGCAGGGGTAGCTTTGGTGCTTTTTTTGGAGGCATGGTGATTTTCTGCCTGTTATTGTCACCGCTGCGTGAAGCATTTGGGAAGCAGGACCTAGTGTGGGATAGGTTTGAGGGTCCCTGCCATGGTGCTAGCTATTGAAGCTAAGTTTAGGGAGGAAGCAACTGTGACAAGGTTCAGAGGAAACTCTAGATTTAGAACAAGTCAAAGCAATCAAACATAAGCCACTGCACGTTTTTCCAGCATTATTGGATATAGCATTTCTCATAATTCAGTTTTTTGAATTACTGAAATAATCAAGTGTTAGTATCAGCATAAGAAAAATCCTGAAAATATTTTCTGAACTGAAAAGCATATGTCCCTGCCGTGTTCAATATATGAAATGTAATTTTATCTTTTCTTCATAACTTATTTAAAAGGAACATTTATTATTATTTGATCCTATAATAGACTGCTGTGCTCTTTAAGATTTTGTCTGCTTTTAATTGTGTTTGTTTCTATTAATAATGGTAGATTCTCCATCACATCTTCATGCTGTCAGGGTACCTGCTTCAAATATGTTGCTTCTCATCTGAGTTTGTTAGAATTGCCTAAAATTCTGGAGTGAAAAGTGTGAATAAAGAAGCCAGATTGCTTGGTGCCTCGGCTCATGCCTGTAATCCCAACACTTTGGGAGGCCAAGGCAGGCAGATCACTTGAGTCCAGGAGTTCGACACCAGCTTTGCCAGCATGAAAACCCCATCTCTACCAAAAAAATACAAAAAAATTAGCCGGGTTTGGTGGTGCACATCTGTGGTCCCAGCTACTTGGGAAATTGAGGTGGGAGGATCACTTGAGCCCAGGAGGTGGAGGTTGCAATGAGAGAGTGATATCTTGTGTTACCTCTTACCCCACCAAAATAAACATAGAAGTCAGATAACAGCCCAGAGGCTTTTTTGTACTTGCCTATGGGTCCATGGCCACATGCCTTGTCACTGAGGTTGCAATATACAGGTCCACCAGCCATGGGGTGTTCGTATCATTGCCCCTGTGGCTTCTGGGCTCTTGTCCCTGTGCCTCACACATATTGCGCCTTCCACCTCCAACTGGAGTGCTGTGAGATTAAACCTGAGTGAAAATTTTCTTTCCTTGGGACACTCACACATTTCATTTACTAAATTGGTACAAAAATCAGATTTTGCAATCTGCGGAAATGGGCGGCTAATAGGCTGGGCACCAAGGAACTTGAGCAAAGCCTGTGAAGAGGATGCCAGACAGTGATCTAGAGAGTATATATTCCTTCTTCATTTTTAACATACATAGCAGTGTTTACTTAAACTACGAATATCAATATCTAAAATGATTAATAAAATGTGCATCTGTAAACTTTAACTGGATTCCGCAGAGGAAAATGATTTAAAATAAAGATAGTGTGAATGTACTTGAGAGTGAATGAGACTGTTTATGCAGAGAATATAGTTTTATGTAGCTGGACAGTCTCTCTCCTCTGTGCTTGCATCTGCATTAAGAAGTGATGGCAAAGGGGAAAATCACCGTATATAAAATCTTGAAGTGATAAATTATGAACAGCAAAAATTCTACCATTTTTGCTCAAATATATTCTAGATCAGCTTGACACAGGATGTAGGCTGATACAGGCTGATGCATGGCCTTTGATCTTGTTTTATTATATTGAAACATTGCATAATTTCAGAATTAAATTCTGATTTAGCAGTTTTAAGGAGAGCACAAAGCTTACCATGTGATTATCTTCATGGTTTCCAACCTTACTGTAGAGACAACGCCTCAACCAGGAGCCATAAAATGTGCTATGATGCAAAGAATTGTAGAGAACATGCCAGAGGTCTGTCATGTGGTCAGTCGTTCGTTCATTCAGTCCACGAACATTTGTGGTGCCTCTTCTAAGGGCTTCCACATCTTTCATGCTGCTTTCCCAGGGCTTTAGAATCATCTCTTTGTGTCCATCTTCACTGTTAGACCGACTGTAAGTTTCTTGGTTTTATTTGTATTTGTATTGGCAGTAACTAGGGCAGTGCCTGGTGCAGAATAATCACTCAGAAGTAGTTTAATAAGTGAATGGTCAAGAATGAAGGTGGAAACGTAATTTTCTTGAAGAACTGACATGTATTTAAAGCTGAAACTAAATTACTTCCACACAGAAATTAAGCATGAACTTTTTCCTGTGTTCAATGGTTGTGGCAGTTGGCTCTTCCAAGAGCCATTGCTGAGTAAACTGTTAGATATCCATTCATGAGAGAGGTGTCAGAGGATTTTGTTCACATTCATTTAGGCTGATGCTGCTAAAGGAGCATTGTTTCGAGTTGGCAGAACACATGCTTTGATCATCCAGCTTTTCACCATCTGGGGGGACAGCTCTTAACAGAACCCACATTATAAAACATATCTGACATTATTTGGGTTTGTTGCTTACAATGGGAAGGCACTGACTTCATGTATAACTGATCTTCAGCATGGCATTCTAAGCAATATTTACAATGGCATTAAACCTAAATTGCCTTCAGGAATTGGTATGTGGCCATACATCATTCATTCTTGGATAAGTGGAGATACAGAAAAATTATACAAGAGTATTTTCAGTAGAATTGAGCTCTGTAACAGTTACTCATTTTCAGACACTGGGTTCCACAAATTCACTATGATAGAATTAGCTTGTCGTTTAACACAGGAATGTAGGAAACACACCAGGAAGTTCTACAGGCAGGTCTTTGAACTCATATTTAGAATCTTTCAGTGTGCTGGTATCCATGGGAAGTAGGCTGGTCAGCTATAGGACCTTCCTTCAAAAGATGGTCGTGTTTTCGTGAACCCCCATGGATGTAATCCAGTATGATTACCAGCTACAAATTAACAAACTTCTTTGCTATATGAATATTTTTATTACAAAAGTCAGATAATCAATATAAAAATGCTTTAGAAGATTAACAGTTGGGAAATGGATCAGAATCACCCATGATCTCAATAATTTAATGTAACCACTATTGGAAAGATGGCATAGTTTCTTTTGGATGTTTTGCTTGGGCATTACCTTTGTGGCTTTGTTGTTATAAATTAGATGCCCTTTTTTATTTTCCCCTCTTAAAAATATCAGAAGCTGTTTTCCATAAGGCTCCTAATTACCATGTCCAAACTCTCTAAAGTCTATTACTATAGTCAGCCTGTCCGGCCTTCTAGGTTAATCATTTCCATAGATGTATTAGTTACTATACAAAGAATACGTTGTTTTTTTTTTTAACAGAGCCCCCTTGATTTGTCCAAAATTTACATATTTCAGTGTTACTGATATACTTCATGGTATTTTATATAAGCCTTGATACTAACAGCAAACATTTATTGAGCACTGCATAGAATATCTGATTTACTCCTTACAGTAGTCCTTTGCAGGGATATACTATTATTACCTCCATTCAGTAGATAACAGAAAACTGGGGGTCACATAGCCAGAAAGTGACAAGGCTTGGTTTTGAATCCTGCTTTCCGACCATGATGTCTGATACCTCTAATGATGAGTCCCTGAGGTTTTGCTTTTTAGATTTGAGACTGAGTGTTTGTGCCTATATTCTTAGGGGAATCTTTTTGTGTCTATGGCTAATTTAGCTTCTGGGCCACACACATTCATGTGATTTTTCTCTAGTCATAGCAATCAAAATGCAAGTAGCGTTCTCAGTACAGGGACCTCATCATATAATGAGTGGAATCCTTTTTTTTTTTTTTTTTTAAGTTTTACTATTTTTCTGAATGGTGGTCATGTAAATTATAACTGGACATAAGGCTACAGTCGTTGGAAGCATGTCTGAACTGACTCCTAGCTCCTTTTTCTGGATTTCAGCTTTGCCTGTGTATCTGTCTGACAGCTTGAATTGCTTGAGTTATCAGAATTAAAGTAGTCTGAAAATATAGTACTGAATTAAAAAGCAAATCTCATTTACTTTTGTTTATTTATTTTGCAGGTCACGGAACAAAAAACCAAAGGTAAGACTTTTTTTTTCTTTTTAAATTATTTAGAACCTTTTGTGTTTAGCTTTTACACTGTTGCTGACTCAGCCTCCAATCCACTGAATAGAGAGTGAGCGTAGAGTAATTACTGTGAGTTGTTTGCAGTCGCTGAAGAACAGTCATGACAAATTGAAAATACTTGTATTAGTGTTTCTAGTTGGCCTTAAATTTTCTAGGAGGCAAAAGAGTAAATACCTTGTTTTAAAAAGTATATGGATCATGGCTGGGCACAGTGGTTTGCACCTTTAATCCCAGCACTTTGGGAGGCTGTATCACTTGAGGTTAGGAGTTCTAGACCAACCTGGCCAAACTGATGAGCCCTCATCTCTACTAAAAATAAATAATTAGCTGGGCATTTTGGCAGGCACCTGTAATCCCAGTTCCTTGGGAGGCTGAGGCATACGAATTGCTTGAACCCAGGAGGCGGAGGTTGCAGTGAGCAGAGATCATGCCACTGCACTCCAGCCTAGGTGACAGAGTGAGACTCCGTCTCAAAAAAAAAAAAAAAGTATGTGGGTCATGATTTTGAATTGAACCTTTTCAAAACTTTTTTTTTTTTAGAATAATAGCAAAAAACAAACACCAGCTTTTAATTTATAGATGGGAATTGCAACAGTCTGTCAACCACCTTGACCTGTGATATGCATTGAGTCTGATAATGGAATATTGCACCTAGGATGTTTACTCTGCCTTCTGAGCTAGAACTTGGAATATGCTTTTTTAAATGATAATACATTTTGAGTCGCTTAACTGTTATAAAATAGTGACTTGTAAACTGAAGCAGGTGCCCCTCGGGTCGTTCTTAACCTAGTAGTCCATGTTTTTCTGGCTTCTTGCTCTCCTATTAATTTTGATCATGTAGTTTTGTCTGGTGATTGTCACACTTTTGCTCATTTCCCTTTCAGAATGAGAGAGTTAATTCTTCGAAATAGCTCCTCTCTTCGCCTACCTAAATATGTGTTTCTCAGTTAGATATGCATAAGGATCATTTGCATAAAATTGTCAAAATACACAGTCCCCGGCCATGGCCCTAGCAGATGTATTTTGAAAAGCTCTGCAGGTGACCCCAGTACATGTCCCTGAGTGAGAATCATTGCCTTGGATGAAAGGAATTAGAGATGACTATGATGACTTAGAGAAGGATAAGGGTGATAGAGAGGTCAAGGCTTGATGGGAGGCCCTGTAATGATTCGTTTCTTCATTGTTTTGTATTGTTTTGTTTTATTGGACTACCAGGCCAAAGCCTGTCACACAGCGATGAAAGAGTAGTAAGAGAGTGCTAATCTGTTAGGAAATTTAGTTATGGAAAATAAATTCTCAGATAATTAGGCGTTTCTATAATAAATTTCTAACCAAAAGACATTTCAAAGGAGAATGTAGTCTGGGAGTTTGTAGTGATGTGTTAAAAAAAACCATAATTATTAGTTATAATTAATTGGTTACAAAGAATAGCATTCTGCCCTTGTACATTTCCTCAGTTTCAGCCCAGAAGTAGGCTTTATTGTGGAAGGATTTTTGTAAATTACTTGCTTGAAATATAAATGATACTTTACCATAGAAATAGTGTTATCCATAATGGTACAGCATACTGTCTAGAAGAGAATTTGGGCACTTAAGTATTGATATTTTTAGGACTTTTTGATGATTTATGGGGACAACAGATGAGAAAATTGGCATTTTTCTGGACAGTCCAGACTCTGGTTTCTGGAATGTGGTGATTGGGTTTCTAGGCCTGGCCACAAGACTGATGCTTACTGAGTCAAGTGTTAGTTGTGCTGTAGAACTGAGCTGCTCTGTATGATAAGTGATGTTGGGGAACAGAAAACCTGTTACGCATCTTTTCTTGCAGAAAAAAAATTTGGGAGGGATACGAAACCTATTCTCAAACACGTTCTTCTTTCTTCTACCAGTCTTAAAAATCAAACTTTCTATTCACCACCAAAAATTTTTTTTCCAATTGAGAACTTTCTCGTACCTACTGTGTAATGGAATACAACTTCACAGTCTCCCTACTCTCCCTGCCTCCCGTCCCTCCAGTTAAAAAATAATGTAAAATAATACCAAGGGGAGATGAGAGGCCATCTCAGTCTCCTAAGGGATTTAATAATTAGATAGCAAGTAAAAAATACCAGTTGTCCCTGTGGTATATTAGACTGTAAACAGAGGGAGGCCCACCTTTCTAGTGTTGGGTCTAGGTTTACAGCCGCATCTTCATCTTTATTCCCGAGACCCAACCTTGGTACTCTAAATCTTCTTCTTCTCTTACCTCAGCTGAACATAACTGGGGGACATGTTCCTCTTCCCAAAGATGGTGTCTTCCTCGGGCAACCTCTCCTTCACTCTGAATCTACCCATCTTTCTGCAGTAGATAGATGCTAGAAGCACAAAGACAAGACCGTTGGTACCAAGTCCCTGGTTGTGTAGAGGACTGAAGTGAGATTTTTCTGTATTTTAGAGAAGTAGTATATTAATTGTATATTCTTCCTGTATTCTCCACCATTTAAAAAAAAATTGTGAGAGCCAGACGGTGGTTCACACCTGTAACCCTAGTACTTTGGGAGGCCAAGGCGGGCGAATCATGAGGTCAGGTGTTCGAGACCAGACTGACCAACAAGGTGAAACCCCGTCTCTACTAAAAATACAAAAAAAAAAAAAAAAAAAAAATAGCTGGGTGTGGTGGCACGCACCTGTAATCCCAGCTACTCAGGAAGCTGAAGCAGGAGACTCACTTGAACCCTTGAGGCGGAGTTTGCAGTGAGCCAAGATCCCAGCCTGGGAAACAGAGCGGGACACCATCTCAAAAAAAAAAAAAAAGAAAGTGAGAATTCTCAGAAGAATAGGACAGATCTCAAGTGGAGGTTATGAGAAGACATAGCTAGAGCTGGCTTGCTACCCAGGTATCAAATAATAGAAAGCACTTAAGGTAGAAGCTAATATCCACCTTCGTTAGATTTTAGAATAGAATTGAAAGAGTTTGAGGGATTGATGTAATCATTCAGCTTTAACAGGGATGAAGTTTAGGATTAAGTTTAGGATTTAAAAGCCCAATTGCAAAAACTATATAATGGAAGAGGTTGGACATAGAAATTTATCCTTGTTAAAAAGATGTTAGGCACCAGGCACCATAGTTCAGGCCTGTAATCCCAGCTACTCGGAAGGCTGAGACGGGAGGATTGCTTGAGCCCAGTAATTCAAGGCTGAAATGAGCCAGAAGTGCCACCGTACTCCAGCCTGAACAGCAGAGCAAGACCTTGTCTCAATTAAAAACAAAAAATGATGTTAGAGTGATGGCTGGCTCTAATGAGAGTTTATCAGCCTAAGATGACCTTACACTGTGTTAATAGACATATAGTATCCAGGAAGGAATTTACACTTCCTGCACCACACTACGGAAAGGAAGCAGGAGCAACCGGCATGTACCATGTGGAGTTTGGGCCAGATTGGGCAAGGAATTTGTTAACTCAGGAAGTTTTAAACACCTGGGGTCTTTGAGCTCCCAGGGAAAGGCTTCCTGCTTGGGAACCTCAGGAAACTAACTGTCTTCAAAAATTTGAAGGGCTCTAGTGCCTGTCACTTAACAGTTCCTTGGTAATTATCTGTCATGTATTTTGTTCAGTGAAATTTGTTCTTGAAATAGCACCAATGGGGAGTCAAAGCCAACAGGGAAAAGCTTCTAGCTCAGTAAAAGTTAAAGTTTTTGGGTGTTGTCACTGGAAGACAGTTGAGAGCAGCACCTAATCCATCAGCATACCTGGGGTTACGGGCCATCGCAGGACATTGGCTACCACTCTTTGTTTTGAGCCTATTTCAGAAGGCATAGTGCAGTGAGTCAACTCTCATTTGTTAATATTGGAGGGGTTCCCCCCATTAAATGATTGATAAACTACTTGCAGCACCCCTCACACCTTGTAGAAACACGTGTGTGTTCTAACACAGCTGTGGGAAGCCACTTGTTCAGAGATGGAACTGGCTGCCTCTAAGAGAATGAATGAATGTGAGGTATTAGGATATATGCGGCACCAATTAATTGGCACGAAAATAGTCCAAATAGGAGGTAATGAGGACTTGAACCTGCTGCGGGGCAGTGGTGGTAAAGGGGAAGGAATGAATTGAGAGAGGCTTTAGTTTAACTTAATGTTGATTAGATATGTTAAACGGGTGGGGGAGCATTGAGAAGTCCAAGATACAACCAGGTTTCTGACTTGAGCAGGTGGTTGGGTGATAAGTTCATTCTTTGAGAGTGAAGACATGGGATAGGGAGCTAGGAAACAAGTTTGGAGGAAGGGAAAGATGGTAAGTGGCAGTTAAAGCCTGAGCCTAGAAGAGTTGGCACTCAAGGAACTGAAATGTGGAAAGGGTGCAGGCCCTATCTTCCCATTGATTTTTGTTGTTGTTGTTTTTAAGCCACTATTTATGGCCACATTCATTTGCCATTCCCCAGTCAGAAGCCCAGGTTGCCATTATGGCCATGGACAATTTGCCTCACTGTTTTTGTACTGGCCATGAGCTAAAAATATTTTTTACATTTTGTAATTATTGGAGAAGAAATGAGAGTATTTTATGACATGTGAAAATGACAGGAAATTCATACTTCACTGTCCATAAATAAAGTTTATGGGAGCACAGCCACACACTCATTTGTTTACACATTGTCTTTGGCTGCTTTGACCCTACAAGTGCAGAATCAAGTTGTTGTGATGAAGACCATATGGCCAGTAAGCCCTAAAATATTTACTATCCGGCCCTTTACAGAAAGTTTGTTGATCCCCCCGATCAAGAGTAGAAGTCCACACAGGAAGAGTAAAGAAAGAGCTGAAGAGCTAGCTGGAGCACATCTCACAGAAACAGGAGGGAGGGAATGATGAGTGGTGTCAGAAGCTGCAGAAAAGTCGAAGAAAAGGTCCAGTGCAGACTGGTTAGACTGGCAACAAAGATCACTAGGGACTTAGGAGGAAGGAAGCTTCCAGGGAGATGTTTAGGGCAAAAGCCAGTGTATTTTGGGTAGAGGGAGTAGAAGGTAAAGAAACAGAGACAGTGCTAAGAGGTTACTGAAAATTGTTCAGTACATATTGACCACTCGCTGCGAGTCATCAGATTTAAAATGCTCAGCCTAGAATATCTTTTCTAGGCCTTGTTTGTATTTTACCTACTACTTTAAAAACATTTATAGGTCATTCTTTTTATGTTTGATACCGTTGAGATAGTTAAAGGAAATAATAGTTTGTACTAGTTCTGTGTAGCTGCTGGGTTCAGAACCCTACCTGGTTCGGAAGTTTCTTAAATAGTCCTTTTATCTGAAAAAGGAGCATCTAATTGAAGGTTTCAGAAATAAGGGCAATTAGAAGTTTAAACTGTGAGATACAAAAATGGAAAAAGATAAATGGGATAAGGAAGGGGAGGAGATTCAATTATTAGAGTACATAAATGTTTCTTAAAAGTAAATGAATGGAGGCTGGGCACGGTGGCCCACACCTCATATTTCAGCACTTTGGGAGGCGGAGGTGGGCAGATCACCTGAGGTCAGGAGTTCGAGACCAGCCTGGCCAACATGGTGAAACCCAGTCTCTACTAAAAATACAAAAATTAGCCAGGCGTGGTTGTGCACACCTGTGATCCCAGCTACTCTGAAGGCTAAGGCAAGAGAATCACTTGAACCTGGGGGCAGAGGTTGCAGCGAGTTGAGATCCCATCACTGCACTCTAGCTTGGGCAACAGAGCAAGACTCCATCTCAAAAAAAAGAAAAGGAAAAAGTAAATGAGGGCCGGGCACGGTGTCTCAAGCCTGTAATCCCAGCACTTTGGGAGGCTGAGGCGGGTGGATCACGAGGTCGTGAGATCGAGACCATCCTGGTCAAAATGGTGAAACCCCGTCTCTACTAAAGATACAAAAAAAATTAGCTGAGCATGGTGGCGCGTGCCTATAATCCCAGCTACTCGGTAGGCTGAGGCAGGAGAATTGCCTGAACCCAGGAGGCGGAGGCTGCAGTGAGCCAAGATTGCGCCATTGCACTCCAGCCTGGGTAACAAGAGCGAAGCTCCATCTCTTAAAAAAAAAAAAAAAAAAAAAAGTAAATGAAAGTTAGAAAATAGCTTTTTTTTCACAATGTTTTTATTTCCTTATAGTACAGAGATCATGTTTAAGCCACAAACCTTTCCTCTGTAAAATAGTATACTATGCCTTTACTTTGAACAGCTCATCTTTAGAAAAACTTGCACAACCTGCAAATCATTAAGATTCAGAAAAGAGACAGCCTGAAAAGTAACATACTCAGACTTAACAATAGCTTCTCTTCCCCTTTATCGTCTTACATTCTGGACCATGATGATGGATTGATGCACACTGATTCTGATTTCTTAAGACTTTGGGAGTCAGTTTGGATCAGGCCTCCTGCCTAAAAAGCTGCATTCCTTTCCAATTAGTGCCTGCAATTCTGGTTGGCATTTAAATGCTTAACGTTCTTAGATTCAGAAAGGTGTGATTTAAAAAATAGAATAAGAATTCATTCAGGTGCTGAAACACAGTTTGCTGTGACTAAGGTGGTGTCTTGGGTGTTTTCTGACTGTGTCCTGGAGGTTTTAATTTTTTTCTTTTTATACTTTGACCTATTTGTGCATGATGTCCTGGAGTTTGAATGACTAATCTCCTAGGCCAGAGCACACTGTCTTGGGAGGAAAGTGGTTGAGGTGTGTTCCTATTTTATAACGACTTTATCACTTACAATCCATTCTATCTCTGATGTGATTGTGGGAAAGTGCCCTGAGGATCTTGCACGATATGTGATAACTACCAAATTTCTTCAGTTGAAACAGTGTTGTGTTTTAAAGTGAGTCAAACTGGTATTCAGCCCTCAGTCCTGCAGGTCTCTCTGTCTTGTCTTGCTGTTGTTTTCTGGATTGAGTTAAAGTATGTAGTAGACCTGGTTAACTTGTAGTGAAGATGCTAGACCTTTTATAGAAGGGCAGGCTTACAGAAACATAGCTCTTTCCATCCTAAAAACCAGTTGGGATGAATTTCTCCAGTCCCTCCCTGCCAGCTTCTTATTTGTACTCATAAGAAAAGGGGGGATTGCAAATGCCCTATGCTGTAGAATCCTCTAGAAACAGATAGTAAAGGAATATTAAATAATCTTCATTCATTCATTTACTATTTATGTATCCATCTGTTGTTATATGTCATGAATATTAAATAATGACTAATTTTATTTTCTGAAGTCACACATTTATTCTGCTCATCAGATTTTGGATCCTCTGATCTCCACTCCCCCTCCCTTTACTGGGAGACCTGGTGCTGCCATTGATTGGCTGAGGTTAGACATGGGGTTGCCTAGAAGTTGCTGCAGGCATCTGCTCTTTTCTCCTGTCAACCACAGTATGTTAATGTCCAGCAGTGGCATAGATTGGACCGCCTGATTTCTGATGATGTATCTGTCTCATAAAGGAGCCAGTTCAACAAACGACATGCTGGCCCAGCATCATTTTAGCAGTCAAAGCAGTACTGCCCCCAGAGCTGGCCCTGATGTTACCCAGGGAGGCAGGGATTTAGGCCACAGAATCATCTGAACTATCAGGCTTGATTATTTCTGTACGACTTCCAGCCTTTATTTTCCACGTAGTTTTGGTTTTTGGGGGGGTTTTTTTGAGATGGAGTCTCACTCTGTCATGCAGTGGCGTGACCTCGGCTCACTGCAGCTTCCACCTCCCGGGTTCAAGCGATTCTCCTGCCTCAGCCTCCCAAGTAGCTAGGATTACAGGCATGCACCACCACCCTGGCTAATTTTTTTGTATTTTTAGTAGAGACGGGGTTTCACCATATTGGTCAGGCTGGTCTCAAACTCCTGACCTCAAATGATCTGCCTGCCTCAGTCTCCCAAAGTGCTGGGATTACAGGCATGAACCACCGCACCTGGCCTGCCAGGTAGATTTTTATGGAGAGGGTAGTGATCTTTTGGCCGCATGCAGCAAGGGAGGTGCAAATCTAAGAGAGCCTTCTCTGTAGGTTGGAGGGGGAGAGCCAGAGGGTCCAGCAGGGTGTGGTTTCACAGTTGTCCTGCACATTCCTATGCTGTATATGGGCCATTTTAAAAATTAAGGTTAACAAAATCAAATTATTTAAAGTAAATAGAAAAAGTATCTACATTTTGTAATTTCTATCTTAAGGAATTGGAAAAAAATTTTTAATAAAAGCATATTTATATCATTTCTAGTATTTACACAGAGAGCTGTGCAAGTCTTTGAGTCCAGGTAGCTGTAAAAACCAAAACCAAGCTGAGTTTGTGATTTTCCAGGCCTGGAGTTTCTTGTATGAGTATACTTTGTACCATGCCCTAAAGAAAAAAAGAAAAGATGAAAAATGGGTCCTTGCCCTGAGGAAGTCATGGCCTGGTGTAAATGGAGAATTTCCGTGGTAGAGAGAGATGGATGATGTGTTCCAGGAGCACTTAGGAAGAACTTTAGCCCACCTAGGCCAGGGATTTCAAGAAAGGTTACTCAGAGGTAGATCTCTTAAGAATGTGGATGAAGGGAAGGGATCCTTGGACTGAGGCTTGAACCTTTTACCAAGGACTTTACCATGGACGTGTAACTCTTCTAGGCAGCACTTCAGGGAATTAATTCTAATGTTGATTTAGGCGAGTGAATGATGATCACTTCCCTCTCCCCCTTGATTAATGGAATGTATTCCATGATCTTGCTGTGTTTAACTTCTTGTCACCATCAGCTGCCACCTTCATCCTGCCTTCAATAAACTGAAGAGATTGTGGAGAATTTGGAAAAACTGTGTCCCTTGAGAGTAGAGTAAAAGGAGAAGTTACTTCGTTAGAATTGGTATCTTGTAAGCTTTCTTAAAAACAATCTTGGCCAGGTTCCAGGCATAGTGGCTCATGCCTGTAATCCCAACATTTTGTGAGGCCTAGGTGGGTAGATTTCTTGAATCAAGGAATTCGAGACCAGCCTAGGTACGAAATATGGCGAAACCCTGTCTCTATAGGGGGAGAAAATAAGTTGGGCATGGTGGTACATGCCTGTAGCCCCAGCTACTCAGGATGCTGAGGTGGGAGGATCCCTTGAGCTCTGGAGGTGGAAGTTACAGTGAGCCAAGATCATTGCACTCCAGCCTGGGTTATACAGCAAGACCCTATCTCAAAAAAATAAAAAATAGGCTGGGCGCAGTGGCTCACACCTATAATCCCAGCACTTTGGGAGGCCACGGCAGGCAGGTCACAAGGTCAGGAGTTCAAGACCAGCCTGGCCAACATAGTGAAACCCCATCTCTACTAAAAATACAAAAATTAGCTGGGTGTGGTGGCAGGCGCCTGTCATCCCAGCTACTTTGGAGTCTAAGGCAGGAGAATTGCTTGAAGGTAGAGGTGGAGGTTGCAGTGAGCGGGGATCGCACCACCGCACTCCAGCCTCAGCAACAGTGCAAGAATCCATCTAAAAAATATATATAATGAATAAAAAATAATAATAATCTTGGCCAGGTGCAGTGGCTCACTCCTGTAATCCTAGCACTTTGGAAAGCTGAGATGGGAGAATTTCTTGGGCCCAAGAGTTCAAGACCCGAGTGGTCAACATGGCAAGACCCATATCTAAACAAAATAATAACATTATTTTTAAAATCTTTAGAAAAATGTATTTGATGTATTTCAAAGACTGTTTCCCAACCTCTCTCTTTTAGTGCCCGAAGTGACGAAACCAAGTTTAAGCCAACCAACGGCCGCCAGCCCAATTGGCAGCTCTCCATCGCCACCAGTCAATGGTGGCAACAATGCCAAAAGGGTGGCAGTGCCGAACGGACAACCGCCAAGCGCCGCCCGCTACATGCCTCGGGAGGTGCCACCGCGATTCCGTTGCCAGCAGGACCACAAAGTGTTACTAAAACGTGGGCAGCCCCCTCCACCGTCCTGCATGCTCCTCGGGGGTGGGGCAGGGCCTCCTCCCTGCACAGCACCTGGAGCAAACCCAAACAACGCACAAGTGACAGGAGCGCTGCTGCAGAGTGAGAGTGGGACTGCGCCAGGTAAGACACCCTGTGGATCGAATGCATGGCAGCTTTACAGAGAGAGAGAGAGAGCGCGCGCGCGAGCGAGCGCACGCTTGGTTTGCATTGCCTGATGTAACGTCTGGGAAAACCATTAATTATATAAACCACTGGGATTGGCCAGAAGATGAGAGGGGATCCTAGGATTCAATGTGTGTTGGTGATTCTTGGAACTGGGGTTGAATGTTCCATAAGTGTGTGCTCTTGTCATGAGAGGCTAATGTAGCTGCTGTTGCTCATTATTTTGGGGGCCTTTTTTTCCTTCTCAGACAAGAGTGTTATAAATTTGAGCCTCCATAGTTCCACTGTCATATGTGTGCAGGTTATAATTGGACCTGGGGCTTGTGTGGAGGCGAATCTTTAGATGTCTGTGTTATGTTTCCAGAATTCTAGGAGGATAGAGAAAATGATTTGTTACATTGCAGTAGAATCTTGGGAGGATTCTAAAATAATATTATTCTATAGTTTTTACATTAGATTTTTAAAATCAGTATTTCTTTTGAGGGCCCTGGATTTTGAGCTTTGTTAAAAGCTGTATATAGAAATAAGGGATCTTTAGCTAAAGGGTTCTACTAGAAGTTTTGAGTGTTTTTAATAGATGAATACTAAGTCAACTAACAGCTAACCAATTCTAAATATCTTTTAAAGTTTACTAACAGATTGCAACTTAAAATGTCTTTTGAGGCGATAATTCAGAGCTTGAATACCATTAAGCATTGGCAAAGACAATGAATTGATTGATGGTTGTCACCAGTAGGATGCTTTATTTGACTTCTGAGTTTGAACAAAGAATTGCTAGAAAATTCAGTCACCACCTTGTTGTGTGCAAAGTAAGGATGGAAAGAAACCTTGTGGTGACACAGACTTCCTGCAGAGATAAGCCCTTTCCTTCCTGGCCTCTCCTAACCAGCTGCAAAAGGAAGCATGTGAAGGGGCGGTCCTGTCAGGTAGAGTTTCTGCAGCCAAGTGTAGCCACGCCTAGGTGGAAACAGGGGTTCCGTGTGAGTCAGAGTCCACATTATTAAAACCAAGGAGACCTCTAAATCTCAAGAGTTTGGGATTCTATGCTTTTTCATTTTTCTATGCCTCTGTATAGTTCTTTTTTGAACTTCAAATTAATTTAAAACTGCCTGGTTAAAGAAGCTAAAATAAATTTAGAAGAAATGATCTCATTAAAAACATATTTTTCCCACCAAATATGGTAAATTCCACCAAAATAATATGGTGAGCCAGACTCATTTATCAGATTAAGTTCCTTGGGGTTGTGAACTCTAATTTGTACTCGTGTGACACCCCCTGCCACGACCCCAGGCACCTAGCTCAGTGGGTATTCATCATTCAGCAGATGCTTACTAAGCAGCATTGTGCTGGCTGCTGTGTGGAATTCTAACGTTAGCAAGTTAGGGTCTCCACCTAAAAGATGCTCACATGGGGAAGGAAAGTTGTGAACATGTACCACAGCACTGAGCAAGAAGGCTCTACACAGAGAAAGATTATTTTCAGGTGATAAGCTTGGAAACAGCTTCATAGCTGAAGTGACACTTGAATTGGGCCCAGAAGGATGAGTAAATTTCACTGTGTGAATTCAGGAGGAAAACACAGTGGGTGCCAACATGGAACAGTGCCAGAGTGAGAAGCCACGAGTTGTGGAATGTCAAGTAGTACGGATATTGACATCTACAAAGGAAGTAGTGGAAGATAAGACTAGAAAAGTTGGTTGGTCCCAGGTCATGGAGCATGTTGATGAGATTCCAGGCCAAGCAGTTTAGCTTTATCCTTGTGCACTAAGAGAACTGTTGAAGGTTCTCCATACAGCAGTGATAGAATCAAAGGTGTACTTTAGAAAAATTGCTCCAGCCAGGGGTGTTTAGAGTAGATTGGAGATACAGTGCTATTGCTGTTACCTTGTCCCAAGACACAAGAAGGCCCTTCTCTGTCAGTAGGAATGGCAAAGGAGGTAGCTTTGAGAGAGATGAAGTTAGACTTAGCCAGTATAACACAAGGCAAATGAAAAAGAAGAGGTGACTAAGACAGTTGTGATATAGGCAACTGAGTTGAAAGAAACTAGCATGTGATTAGCTCTCCTAAGGGCAGAGCTCAAAGGAGAGCCCCTTTGAGGTATTAATGGGTAATTAATGCATGTGAAGCTGTGATTAATAAGATGATCTCTTCCCCAGAGTCAACCCTTGGAGGTGCTGCTGCTTCAAATTATGCAAATTCCACTTGGGGCTCGGGAGCCTCCTCCAACAACGGCACCTCCCCCAACCCAATTCACAACTGGGACAAGGTGATTGTAGACGGGTCTGACATGGAAGAGTGGCCTTGTATTGCCAGCAAAGACACTGAATCTTCTTCCGAAAACACCGCCGATAACAACAGTGCCTCGAACCCTGGCTCTGAGAAGAGCACTCTGCCAGGAAGCACCACTAGTAACAAAGGAAAAGGGAGCCAGTGCCAGTCTGCAAGTTCTGGGAACGAATGTAATCTTGGGGTCTGGAAATCTGACCCTAAGGCTAAATCTGTTCAATCTTCCAACTCTACTACAGAGAACAACAATGGACTAGGAAATTGGAGGAATGTGAGTAGTCAGGATAGAATTGGACCTGGCTCTGGCTTCAGCAACTTTAACCCAAATAGCAACCCATCTGCCTGGCCAGCACTGGTCCAAGAAGGAACTTCTAGGAAAGGGGCATTGGAAACAGATAATAGTAATTCCAGTGCACAGGTTAGCACAGTAGGTCAGACATCCAGGGAACAGCAGTCAAAGATGGAAAATGCGGGTGTTAATTTTGTTGTCTCTGGCAGAGAACAGGCTCAAATTCATAACACTGATGGACCAAAAAATGGAAACACTAACTCCTTGAACTTAAGTTCACCAAACCCCATGGAGAATAAGGGAATGCCCTTTGGAATGGGCTTGGGGAACACCTCCAGGAGCACTGATGCCCCTTCACAAAGCACTGGAGATCGAAAGACTGGGAGTGTTGGATCTTGGGGTGCAGCTAGGGGGCCTTCTGGAACTGACACAGTCTCTGGACAAAGCAATTCTGGAAACAATGGGAACAATGGAAAAGAGAGAGAGGACTCCTGGAAAGGAGCTTCTGTTCAGAAATCAACTGGGTCAAAAAGTGACTCTTGGGACAACAATAACAGGTCTACGGGTGGGTCCTGGAACTTTGGTCCCCAGGACTCTAATGACAACAAATGGGGTGAAGGGAACAAAATGACATCTGGGGTCTCTCAGGGAGAATGGAAACAGCCGACTGGGTCTGATGAGTTGAAAATTGGAGAATGGAGTGGTCCAAACCAACCAAATTCTAGCACTGGAGCATGGGACAATCAAAAGGGCCACCCCCTCCCTGAAAACCAAGGCAATGCCCAGGCTCCCTGTTGGGGAAGATCTTCCAGCTCCACAGGAAGTGAAGTTGGAGGTCAAAGCACTGGAAGCAACCACAAAGCAGGAAGTAGTGACAGTCATAACTCTGGCCGTCGGTCATACAGGCCCACACATCCTGATTGTCAGGCTGTCTTGCAGACTCTTTTGAGCCGAACTGATTTGGACCCCAGGGTGCTCTCAAACACCGGCTGGGGCCAAACTCAAATTAAGCAGGACACAGTGTGGGACATTGAAGAGGTGCCAAGGCCCGAGGGGAAATCTGACAAAGGAACTGAGGGGTGGGAGAGCGCTGCCACACAGACCAAGAACTCAGGGGGCTGGGGAGACGCACCCAGCCAAAGCAATCAAATGAAGTCTGGATGGGGGGAGCTCTCAGCCTCTACAGAGTGGAAAGACCCCAAGAACACCGGAGGCTGGAATGACTACAAGAACAACAACTCTTCCAACTGGGGAGGAGGACGACCTGATGAAAAGACATCTTCCTCTTGGAATGAGAATCCCAGCAAGGATCAGGGGTGGGGGGGTGGACGCCAGCCCAATCAAGGATGGACCTCTGGAAAGAATGGTTGGGGGGAGGAAGTAGATCAAGCGAAAAACAGCAATTGGGAAAGTTCTGCAAGTAAACCTGTGTCTGGGTGGGGTGAAGGAGGGCAGAATGAAATCGGAACTTGGGGTAACGGTGGGAATGCAAACCTAGCTTCAAAAGGTGGGTGGGAGGATTGCAAAAGATCCCCAGCATGGAATGAGACAAGCCGACAGCCCAATTCCTGGAATAAACAACACCAACAGCAGCAGCCGCCACAGCAGCCACCACCGCCACAACCAGAGGCTTCTGGTTCGTGGGGAGGCCCACCCCCACCACCTCCAGGCAGCGTTCGACCTTCCAGTTCCAGCTGGAGCAGCGGGCCGCAGCCTACAACCCCTAAGGATGAGGAACCCAGTGGTTGGGAAGAGCCATCCCCACAGTCAATTAGTCGGAAAATGGACATTGATGATGGCACTTCAGCATGGGGAGACCCCAACAGTTATAACTATAAGAATGTGAATCTGTGGGATAAGAATTCCCAAGGGGGCCCAGCACCTCGAGAACCAAACCTGCCCACCCCAATGACGAGTAAATCAGCATCAGGTAAGCTGTGGCTTTTTCTGGCAGCTTTTGATGAAGAAAAGAAATCTGGGGCACTTTTATTAGGTGCATTTACTCAATTCAGTTCTGTTCTGAGAAGCTTTCCTACAGATCCTACTCTGTTGCTAACAGAACCTCTTTTTATAAAATGCTAGTGATGGCAGATGCTGGTAGTACATTTTAATGTTCCTTCTTGGCAAAAGGAAAAGATGACAACCCTGTGTTAGTCCCCAAAATTATTTTTCTGTAATTGTATTGGTCTGCAGAATCTAAAAGACATATCTTGCTAAACCATGTTCTAGATTTTAAAATAAAGAATTAAAGTAGTAACAGAAATAGACCTGCTTTCCATTCTGGTTCTCCCTGTGGACATATCTCTGCTTCTGTTTCCCCAGCAAAGGGAAGTATTCTGTGTTTTTCCAGAGGCCATCATGATGCTGAAGCAAAGCTGGTATCTGGAAGTTTTCAGTCTCTTTCCAGATGATTTGTAATGATTACTTCTGGAATGGGAGTACTTTCTATAAGAGATTGTTATCTCAGGCCTAGTGAGGTGCCTCACACCTGTAATCCCAGCACTGTGGGAGACCAGGCCAGGAGGATCCCTTGAGCCCAGGAGTTTGAGACCACCTGGGCAACCTAGAGAGACTTCAGTCTCTACAAAAATATATGTTTTAAATGGTTGTATGTGCTGCATATGCCACTATAGTCCCACCTACTCCAGAGGCTGAGATGAGAGTATCGTCTGAGTCCTGGAGATAGAGGCTTTGGGGAATTACGATCGCACCACTGCAACTCCAGCTTGGGCGACAGAGTAAGACCCTGTTGCAAAAAAAAAAAAAAAGAAAAAAAACCACGAGATTGTTAGGATAATCAGTTGCCCAGAATGAAACTTTCTTCCCTCACTATTTTAATAGGAAACATCATACCTGGTAAAAGTAGCAATGGTAATGCCATTCTTAGTTTGTCATTGTCAACTTGAATGTCCCTGTAAAGCATATAGTTCAACAAATTAAGGGGGAATGCACCTTTCAGTCTTTTTTTTAGTTAAAATTAATGATAATTTTAAGAATCAGCGTTTTGTTTGCTTGTCGTTTTTGTTTTTTTTTTTAAGACAGAATTTCACTCTGTCGCCCAGGCTGGAGTGTAGTGGCTCGATCTCAGCTCACTGCAACCTCTGCCTCCCAAGTTCAAGTGATTCTCTTGCCTCAGCCTCCCGAGTAGCTGCGATTACAGGTGCCTGCCACCACGCCCAGCTAATTTTTGTATTTTTAGTGGAGACTGGGTTTCACCATGTTGGCCAGAGTGAAAATGGATCACCTCAGGTGATCCACCTGCCTTGGCCTTCCAAAGTGCTGGGATTACAGGCGTGAGCCACTGTGCCCTGCCAAGAATCGGTTTTGTCAGAGTACACCTCTAGTGTTCAGCTAATCCATTTGTGGCCACTTAGAAAAATGATTACTTTTGGCCGGGCGTGGTAGCTCATGCCTGTAATCCCAGCACTTTGGGAGGCCAAGATGGGCGGATCACAAGGTCAGGGGTTTGAGACCAGATTAACAAACATGATGAAACCCCATCTCTACTAAAAACACAAAAATTAGCCTGGCATGGTAGTACGTGCCTATAATCCCAGCTACTCAGGAGGCTGAAGCAGGAGAATTGCTTGAACCCTGGAGGCGAAGGTTGCAGTGAGCTGAGATCAGGCCACTGCACTCCAGCTGGGTGACAGATAGAGTGAGACTCCCTCTCAAAAAAAAAAAAAAAAATTACTTTTAACTCATTATTTTTTCAAGTATTGAAAACAATGAGGAAGGAAATGAACATTGCTCAGTAATTCCTCATCCAGAATAAAACCTGCTAAAATTTTTTAAAAACTATATCCACATAGCAAAAACCTTCAAACTGTAAAAGCAAAAGATCATCAATAAAGGAATCGTAATCCTTTGGGTCTCTTCGCATAGGTAATCTCTTAGAAGTTTGTGTCCCATTCAAAAGTTTTACAGAGAAGGGATTGTACTTTACATACTGTTCTTCATCTCGCTTTTCTCATTATACTTACAAGCTTTCCATTTTAGCATATAGTGTGCGGCTTAATTGCTTCATATACGGTATTTCTTTTTTCTTTCTCTCTCTCTCTCTTTTTTTTTTTTTTTTTTTGAGACGGAGTCTCACTCTGTTGCCAAGGCTGGAGTGCAGTGGCACAGTCTCGGCTCACTGCAACCTTTGCCTCCTGGATTCAAGTGAGTCTCCTTCTCAGCCTCCCAAATAGCTGGGATTACAGGCATGAGCCACCATGCCCAGCTTATTTTTGTATTTTGGTAGAGACGGGGTTTTGGCATGTTGGTCAGGCTGGTCTTGAACTGACCTCAGGAGATCCACCTGTCTTGGCCTCCCAAAGTGCTGGGATTACAGGCGTGAGCCACCACACCCAGCCCATATACGGTATTTCTTTAATGAGTGACCCACAGTTTGTCTAACCAGTCCCCTTGTGGTGTATATTTAGGTTGCTTCCAAATTTCTCCTATCAGTAATGCAGTGAGTATTGTTATACATGTAATTTCATCTATGTTTACAAGTGTACATGCAATATAATTTCCTGGCAGTCTGGGTGTGGTGGCTCATGTCTGTAATCCCAGCACTTTGGGAGGCTGAGGCAGGTGGATCCTGACTTGAGGTCAGGAGTTTGAGGCCAGACTGACCAACATGGTGAAACCACGTCTCTACTAAAAAAAAAAAAAAGTACAAAAATTAGCTGGTTATGGTGGTGCACGCCTGTAATTCCAGCTACTTGGGAGGCTGAGGCAGGAGAATCGCTTGAAGCCAGGAGGTGGAGGTTGCAGTGAGCCAAGACCACGCCACTGTACTCCAGCCTGGGTGACAGAGTGAGACTCTGTTTCAAAAAAAAAAAAACCTCTCCTGTCAGTGGAGTTACTGGGTCAAAAGTTTAATGTGCATCGGATTTTTTAAAAAGTGACATTGTCAGGGCCGGGCGCAGTGGCTCACGCCTGTAATCCCAGCACTTTGGGAGGCCGAGGCGGGTGGATCACGAGGTCAAGAGATCGAGACCATCCTGGTCAACATGGTGAAACTCCGTCTCAACTAAAAATACAAAAAATTAGCTGGGCATGGTGGTGCATGCCTGTAATCCCAGCTTCTCAGGAGACTGAGGCAGGAGAATTGCCTGAACCCAGGAGGCAGAGGTTGCGGTGAGCCGAGATTGCGCCATTGCACTCCAGTCTGGGTAACAAGAGCAAAACTCTGTCTCAAAAACAAAAAACAAACAAAAAGTGACATTGTCAAATGCCCCTCATGAAAGTTGAATCTGTTTACAGTTCTGCCGACAGAATGTAGGCCTGCCTATTCCCTCCACCTTCACCCCATAGGATATTCTGGCATTTCATTTAACAAATGATTCTTAGAGACATTTCCTTTCTTTATAGTCTGGAGCAAAAGCACACCACCTGCTCCAGATAATGGTACTTCCGCTTGGGGTGAGCCAAATGAAAGCAGTCCTGGGTGGGGCGAGATGGATGATACAGGAGCATCGACCACAGGCTGGGGGAACATGCCCGCCAACGCTCCCAATGCCATGAAGCCTAGTAAGTGTGAAGCTTTTCATTTTTGAGAGATTCTTCTTTTTTTTTAATTGAGACTGAGTTTTTCACTCTTGTCACCTAGGCTGGAGTGCAGTGGTGCAACATCTGCTCACTGCAACCTCCCCTTCCCAGCTTCAAGCGATTCTCCTGCCTCAGCCTCCCAAGTAGCTGGGATTATAGGTGCCCACCACCACGCCCACCTAATTTTTGTATATTTATTAGAGACAGGGTTTCACCCTGTTGGTCAGGCTGGTCTCCAACTCCTGACCTCAGATGATCCACCTGCCTCGGCCTCCCAAAGTGCTGGGATTACAGGCGTGAGCCACTGGGCCGGGCTGGGATTCTTTGTGAATTTGAGCATCTGACATTTTGGTGAGGGCTCTTTAGTTTTAAACTATTGATTCAATGAGATTCAGGACCTTTAGGGTTAAATAATTAGTTAATAGCAAATGGTTGTTGCTTGTTTGGTGTTTCTTAAAATGTTTAAGATGAACTAAAAATCGTAAGTTAATTTTGTTGATTTTGTTTTAAATTGAGTATCTGGACAGAATTGTAATTTGATATGATGCTCTTTTCACCCAGTGACTGTGTTCACCATGTCTATCTTGCATTTCTACTCGTTTGTTAGTATAATTTAAAACGAGTTCTCTGGCTTTTAATGTGGAACACGGTTTCTGCTGCCCAGTGACTTCATCCTTCTGTACTTTTTCTTGCCTTTGGCCTCTCTTCTTCCACATAAGATCATTAGAGGTTTTTTGAACATGGCATAAATTTCACTTCAAGTTTTTTAAATGAAGAACATCACACTTATTCAGAATCATTGAAAATCTAAGCTGTACATGATCCAGCTGGCGATGTGTGGTCACAGCAATTAGCAGAACTCTAGACTGAGGCTGTGGAACATCTCATTGGATGTTCCTAAATTGAAAAATTCAATTTTCAAGTGCCTGTTTCCACTTATTTTTGTAACTTTCTTAAAAATGTTCCAACTTCTCTTTTTTTTTTTCCATATAGCAGATTTAAGGGATTATCTTTTGACTAAATAATGAAAATTTCTGGAATAACCAAACTTTGAACAAGAAAATAAATTTTTAAGTTTATCATATAATATTCAGGACTTTTACAGTGCCACATAAGGGAATATGATATTAGCTCTATTCTGGAAATTCACACATAGTAACTTGACTAATTTTAAAAACTGTGAATCTCCTAAACTTCATTAAAATAGTTATCTTTATGAAGATTTTGTTTTTATCATTATTTCCATTGTGAAATCAGTTGTATCATCATGGGAAATGTAATCTAGCATACTTGAAATAGATCCAAAAAGCTGTTGGAAGACATAAATCAGACCCTGGGCACAAAGAGATCTTTAGCAGTATATTCAGGATTTTTATGTCTGTTTCCCAACCTCAGGATCACCTCTCTTCTATCACAAAACCCTCACTTTTCCTCAGATTCTAGAAATGTCTTCTACTTTTGAGGGTCATAGTAGTTACAGGAAACATTTTTTCTCTGGATAAGTTGAATGTGTAATGTGCAGAAGAAGGGGCCAAACCATCATAGTCTACCAGTTGATGCAGTTACCCTGTGATCTTCTCTAGCCTGCAAGTGTCTTAAATTTGATGTTATGAATCCTATCATTAAAAATTAGACCTCTCTTATCTTTTCTATAAGAAACATTTGTTAGAAGTTTAGCTTCTTTCTCTAAAAGAAAGGTTCACTTGCATGTCTTCATTTTTCTAAAGAGGTAGGTGTGTTATTTATATTGGGTTTTAATAAGCAACTCCTGTTGCTTGTCGGTGGATGGTATAAAGCCTACGCTTATATAATACAAATCATAAATATGGTATTATATAAATCTATAATCCTATACAGAGGCAGCAGTCGTGATTATCAGCAGCACTTCCAGCAGCAGGAAGAAGAGCATCCCAACCCTGCCCCTTGTACACAGACAGAAAGCCCCTTCCTGCAGCTACAGTGAACCCCACTGGGAGACTATCAAGATTCACCTGGCCCTTGCTGGGGGATGAGAGGCCACAGTTAGAAGAAATTTATTGCACTGTGCCTTATGTACTTGGTGCGAACCTACTTGACTATCATAGGCCTGGTTCTACAGGGTGGTAACTGTCATTCAAGGAAACGCCTGGAAGAGCCGATTTTCTGCCCTTAATCTCTTCATATAAAATTATGTACAAATCAGAAACTTTCATAAATGTCCTGTCATGTGGGAAAGTAGAGGTGTAGATGGAAGTTTCCAGGCAAGAAAATGTAGTTCCTTTTCTTTCATCATTTTATACAGTATCATTAATGCAAAGTATGTTTTGATTCTGTACAGTATTTTCAGACGGAATTAAGGACTTAATCCAGTCTTCAAATTAAAAATTGTTTACAATGGGATACTGATGTCCCACTTTCTCAAACATTAAAACCTCTTTGATTTCTCTCTGCTTTCCTTCCTCCCTTCCTCTCCCTGTCCTCCACATTTTCTCCTCCTGTCTTTTCAAAACCACTATGTATATATTTTTTGCCTCTTTAGTATCTAATACATTTCAAGTGTATAGTTCTAATACCATTCATATTTCTGTGGCTATATGTGACTTTTTCTTCTTTCACCATAATTTTGATATTCAAAATCTTATCAACTTCCCCCTTTTTATGTTCTGTTTTTCTCTGCTTCACTGCAAACAAACTAGACAGTTGTCCTTTATCATACCTCGTATTTGTAGTGTCCATTGCATATAAATCACATACTGAATAGGAGGATAAAACCAGGGCTACAGCTCATTAAGAGGGACAGATTTCTCTTAATTGAGATGTGAAATTTCTTGACCGGAATGTTGTGATAAGTTATTTTCAGTTTTGAAATTCCTGCCCGCTTGGTGCAAGGGAAAAAGCATTGATCCGGATGTTAGGAGGCCTTGATTCTATGGTTTGTTAGCTTTCTGTGTATCATTGAGGCTTTATGGGTTTTGGTTTTCTGACCTCTAAAAAATGAGTAATAGTATTTGCCTTGCCATGTGGATGGACTAGATAAAATTACAAAGACACTAAAATGCTGTATCTGCAAGGAATTATTATTCTGATGATCGTTTTATATAGCTGTTGCAAAGAGTTAATTTATTCTTTCCTTTAAGATTCCAAATCTATGCAAGATGGCTGGGGGGAGAGTGACGGGCCAGTCGCAGGAACTCGCCATCCCAGCTGGGAAGAGGAGGAAGATGGAGGAGTCTGGAACACCGCTGGCTCTCAGGGCAGTGCTTCCTCCCACAACTCGGCAAGCTGGGGACAAGGAGGAAAGAAACAAATGAAGGTAGCCTGCCTTAGAAATGTTCACGCTTGCTCATTCGCTCTGGGAAGGCAGAACTGAGGTTTTGTTCTCGTTTGTTTTCATTTTGAGACAAGTTCTCAGTGTGTCACTCAGGCTAGACTGCAGTGGCACAATCACAACTCATGGCAGCATCGACCTCCTGGGCTCAAGTAATCCTCCTACCTCAGCCTCCCCAGTAGCCAGAACTATGACCACACCTGGCTAATTTTTGTATTTTTTAAATAGAGACAGGGTTTTATCATGTTGCCCAGGGTGATCTCAAACTCCTGGGTTCAATCCTGCTGCCTCAGCCTCCCAAAGTTCTGGGATTACAGGCATGAGCCACTACGCCTAGCCGAAACAGGATTTTTAAATGAAAGGTATGAGGCAGCTGGGGTCCTTGAGCGTCCTAAGTAAGGGGAAAAATATTTTCTTGCAAACAAATAACAACTTCCCTTTTACCCTTCATTTTCCTTTCCCATGACCTTGAACTACAAAACTGTTGCTGTGGGTAAAATGAAATTTTCAAAGATATGAGATATTTTTCATTTTTGGTTTCCACATTTTAATAATCTGTTGTAGGCTCTCAAGGTATACTCTATGAATGCTTTTGCAATCTAAAGCCAAAGAAGTCCTTCCAGTAAATCCCTGTAGGTACGTAGGAGGGAATCCAAAGGAAGATAATGCTGGCTTCTCCCATGGCGATCAGCATGTCTTGATTTTATCTGATTTGGGAAATTCCAAGGCCCAGAACCCTTCTCCCAACAAATGAAGTACCAGTGTGTGCTCGTGTGCTATATAGCAGCTATCTACATTCTATACCAGGTGGAGTGCTAAACTCTCCACCTTCTGTGTCTCATAGCAACTCACTTTCTCCTTCAGTTTGCTCAGTTTGATGAAGACTTTAGTTTTTAATCTAGAACAGTAGTCTTTGAACCTGAACTAGTGTCTTGGCAGAGACTCTCTTTTTTCAATTCCAGATTTTCATTCGACAAATAATATAGTGGAAATAAGAAGTGGGCATCCATTACTTTATTTCAACATGAGAGCCTTGGCACCCTATGAAATGTTTCACAGCTAATATTCTCCCGTGTTTCAAATGCCAGATGCTGTCTTAGAGGCCTTCCCATGTCTGAGGATTGGGCCTTCATCCCCTTTGCCCTTAAATTTTATAGGCGACTCTTTCTTTTATAGCATAAGAATATAGTTTGTTTCTATTTAGAGACGTTTTCCTTAAGCAGTCACTTATAGTTTTTCTTCTATTAAAGCTTTTATTTCTTTAGTCAACAGAAGGATTTATTCAGCAAACTTTTCAGCATTCTTTGCACTCTTAGGTTGTCTAGTGTGATTTTGGCTTTCTTTTGATTATTTACAAATTAACAATGAGACTAAATTAACTGATTGAAAGCAACTAATAAATACCCCACTCCAGTGACAACCAAGATTTAATTAAGTTAACTGGGAATTGAATCTTTCAGCCCCAGTATCAGTGATTCTGACTTCTCATATTGAAGGTGGTTTTTTTTTGTTTTTGTTTGTTTTAATTGTGATAAAATACATATAACATGCAATTTACTGTAGCGTACTTTCTTTTCTTTTCTTTTCTTTTTTTTTTTTTTTTTGAGACAGTTTAGCTCTTGCTGCCCAGGCTGGAGTGCAATGGAATGATCAGCTCACCACAACCTCCACCTCCTGGGTTCAAGCGATTCTCCTGCCTCAGCCTCCCGAGTAGCTGGGATTACAGGAATGCACCACCACACCTGGCTAATTTTGTATTTTTAGTGGAGGTGGAGTTTCTCCATTTTGGTCAGGCTGGTCTTGAACTACCGAACTCAGGTGATCTGCCCTCTTAAGTGCTGGGATTACAGACGTAAGCCACCGCACCTGGCCTCATAGTGTACATTTTTAAATGTACAGTTCAGTGGCGTGAAGTATATAAACATACTTAGGCTGCCATTTACCACCGTCAATCCACAGAACTCTTTCCATCTTAAAAAACTGAAACTCTGTACCTATTAAACAGTAACTTCCCATTCCCCCCTCACTCTAGTGAGGGCTTTTTTGACCTCAAAACCTGTACTAGCTAGGCACAGTGGCTCATGCCTGTAATCCCAGGACTTTGGGAGGCCGAGGCCTGTAGATTATCTGAGGTCAAGAGTTCGAGACCAGCCTGGCCAACATGGCAAAACCTCGTCGCTAGTAAAAATAGAAAAATTAGCCAGGCGTGGTGGTGGACCCCTGTTATCCCAGCTACTGGGGAGGCTGAGGCAGGAGAATTGCTTAAACCCAGGAGGCGGAGGTTGCAGTGAGCCGAGATCATACCATTGCACTCCAGCCTGGGCAACAAGAGCAAAACTCAGTCTCAAAACAAAGGCCAGCACAGTGGCTCACACCTGTAATCCCAGCACTTTGGGAAGCCGAGGCAGGCAGATCACAAGGTCAGGAGTTCGAGGCCAGTCTGTCCAATATAGTGAAACCCCATCTCTACTAAAAAGACAAAAATTAGCTGGGCATGGTGGCATGCACCTGCAGTCCCAGTTACTCGGGAGGCTGAGGTAGAAGAATTGCTTGAACCCGGGAGGCAGAGGTTGCAGTGAGCCAAGATTGCACAGCCTGGGTGACAGAGTGAGATTTCATCTCAAAAAAAAAAAAAAAACTGTACTAAAGTACTTCATCACTTTCAAGGATAATAAAATTGATTTGATAGCTATCATCATAACATAGATAATTTTTACATGTGAAATACACAGGTGCACAAAGCCCCACCCCACCAAATCTTCCTCATAGTTCCAACTGCCTCCCTCACAGAAGTAAAAGTGGAGCTCATGGTCAGTGCCTTGTTCAGGGAAGAAACTAGTTTGTCCCGTTAAAAAATTAAAACCTACCTCTGCCCTACTGTGTCCAGGAGATTGGTGATGGTTTCTCACTGGGTCTCTTTACCACCAAGACCAATGTCCTTCATGCTGTGAAACAAGCAGATGAAGCACCATGAGTTCCTCATAATGTCCAGTTTAAATAGGCTCCTTTCCAGATGGCATGCACTGACATCAAACTCCTTTCTCCTAACATAAACCAGTTTGGGTTATAAGGAGAGCAGCCTAATAAAAGTGAAAGTAGTCATGTGCAAAACTTAGATTTCAGAAAATCACATCAGACTTCTTTCTGTTTAAAAAGTAAAAGTACCAGCTGACCATGTGTTTTTCCAATTATATTTCAGCGAGATGAATTTTATAAAAATGCAAACATAGATATAACTAGGACTTATTTAACAGAATATCAAAATAATTTTAGTTAAAGAGAAATAGGATTTAAAAAGGTAAATTCTAGTCTGCATTTTCAGTCTGTGTTAATAAAACTCAGAAGGTTGAAATAAATTATTTGGTTCTGAGGTTATGTGTTTCATTTCTGTAGTGCTCACTTAAAGGAGGAAACAGTGATTCATGGATGAATCCTCTTGCCAAACAGTTTTCAAATATGGGATTGCTGGTAAGTTATTTTTTTCAAATGTATAATGTATCCCAACTTTTAGGTTTAATGCAGATTTTAAGACCACTGCTACATATAGTAAGTACAAAATTACAGATTTAAAAACTAGTTAAGCAATGTTTTTGATCTTTTGAATTAAGCAGTATTTCTTTTCTGTGATTTTATTCTTTTTTTTTTTTTTTTTTTTTTTTAAGACAGTTTCGCTCTTGTTACCCAGGCTGGAGTGCCATGGCGCGATCTCGGCTCACTGCAACCTCCACCTCCTGGGTTCAGGCAATTCTCCTGCCTCAGTCTCCTGAGTAGCTGGGATTACAAGCATGCACCACCATGCCCAGCTAATTTTTTGTATTTTTAGCAGAGATGGGGTTTCATCATGTTGACCAGAATGATCTCAATCTCTTGACCTCGTGATCCACCCACCTCGGCCTCCCAAAGTGCTAGCCTAATATAGGCCCAATTAGAGGCTTGAGCCACTGCGCCGGCCAGATTTTATTCTTAATGACATACTCCAACATTTAAAAGTTACAGCTTTTAAATTTGTAGTGATTGTGCCCTTTTCCTTAGGAGGATAGAGAAGAGTCAGGCACTTAAAATGTATACAATTGTTTCTGACCATATTACTGTATTAGTTTTCATATTACAATTTTTTAAAAGGCAACAATAACCAAATAACTAGAAAAACTATACTGGGACTAATTACATAGAGAATTCTTGTAGAATTTCTGATTTCTTTATCTCTGGGGAATGATGTGAGGACACCCTGTCCCTGGTTGCCAAAAGACAAATAACTTTACTTGGCTGCACAGTTGAAGATTTGATGACTTGACAAGTCACAAGAAGTTGTCATCATTTGACTGCCACTCAGGGAATTTGATCCTGGGCTGACTAGAACTTAAGGACAGGGGGTTTATTTCTTCAGGCACCTGTTTATCTATGGCTTTCTTTGTAAATGCATTGAGACTAATTGCATATTAAAGCTGAATTGTGAGAATATAGGCCCAAGCAGCAATCAAGCTAGCATATTAAAAATGTTAATGTCTTCATTACTGTTAAGTTTCTTTCAGAGGAACTTCTGTAGTGCCAGTAGTAAGATGTGGCTCTCAGGTGAATAATGCCGCTTCTCTGATTCAAAGACGTACATCCTTAATTCTCTCTCATCTGTTCTTGATTTTTCAGAGTCAGACTGAAGATAATCCAAGCAGCAAAATGGATTTGTCTGTAGGTGTGTATCACTCCGCTGAAAGGAATGAAGTATATCAGTGTTATGATGTCCTGTTGGCATCTGCTGTCCAGTTTGAGTTGGGATGGGTGCAGTTCAGTAGACATTTATTGAGCTCTTACTCTTTGTAAGGTACTGTGCCAGACACTAAGTAGGGACTGAAAACTCAGATGACTGCAAAAGTCAAGAAAGAATGAAAGTGAGTGATGTGTGCAAGGTATAAGAACCTGGGATGAGGTGGCCACAAGTTAACTGTGGATAGTCCACCTGGAAGAATCAGCCTTGCATGGCTCCTGGCAGTTGCTGCTCTGGAAGAATCCAGCTGAGCTATGACAAGTCTTTCAGGAGAGGCCAGAAATTCGGATGTGTCCTGGCATTCTGATTGTTATTTTTACATTTATTTGTTCTTTGAGACTGAGTCTCACTTTGTCGCCCAGGCTGGAGTGCAGTGGCGTGATCTCAGCTCACTCCAACCTCCACCTCCCAGGTTCAAGTGATTCTCCCACCTCAGTCTCCCAGGTAGCTGGGATCACAGGCAGGCACCACCATGCCCAGCTAATTTTTGTATTTTTAGTAGAGACGGGGTTTCACCATATTGGCCAAACTGGTCTTGAACTCCTGACCTCAAGTGATCTGCCTGCCTTGGCCTCCCAAAGTGCTGGGAGTACAGGTGTGAACCACTACATCCAGCCTGATTTTTAAATACTAGAACTAACTCAGATCTCTTAAAATGCTCTATGGGACCAAAAAATAATGTGCCAGATATGGCCCTCAAGTTGCCAGTCCTGTCTGAACCCAAATGTGTATTATTGACAAACTCTCACATTGCAGCTGGAGTGGATGCAGTGTTAGCCATTAGTCTGTGGGATTTTTGTAGTAATGTTCTTGATCACTCTGAGGAACTTAAAAAGAAACTAAGAAGAAATGAAAATGATTATGGGTAATAAAGGCAGTAGGTAGTCTTTGATCTATGATATTTCTAAATACGAGAATAATGAAAACATAAAGTTTCCTCGGGAGCCACTGGTTATATCAGCAAACAACAGCGGATTTGTAGAGCTGTGAAAGAAAAGTGGTATAGTCATGGCACCTGGGAAATTGCACCGTGTAGGTAATGTGGACACATCTTCTGTGTTCAACTCTTAAGTTCTAATTTTAGGCACCACTGTGCCTCCTTGACCTTTTTATTCCTAATAACTATGTTTCACACAGACCATTTATGTAGCTGATGCTAAAATTGCAAAAACAGACATCTCTCCCTGAGGACATGTGAATTTATGAGCAAGATGTGTTCATCAAACACATCAATAACCAGTCTAAATGTTTTCTTAGCCAGATTTTTTTCCAGGTTAGCCCTAAGACTCTTTCAGTCTTCAATAGAAAACAAGCTATAACACATACATGTCTTGTTTTATTTTTTATTAAAAATAAAAGGACCCATGCGTGTTCCAGGGATAAACACCAGTAACTTGGACCAGTGAGAGTTTATCTGGTCTTATCCCCAGAAATAGAAATGTTCATAGCTCATACCTGGCACCCCCATGAAGATAGTGGGGCAGGTCCCTCTTGGTTCATGGGGGAAACATTGATTCTGGAAATTTTCACTCTGTTTGTGCTACTTTTCAGGAAGCCTTTCAGATAAAAAGTTTGATGTGGACAAGCGAGCGATGAATCTCGGGGATTTTAACGATATCATGAGGAAGGATCGATCTGGGTTCCGTCCACCTAATTCCAAAGACATGGGAACCACAGATAGTGGGCCTTATTTTGAGAAGGTGAGTTGAATCCTTTGTTTAAGATAATAATTCATGAGAACCGCTTTGGTTCTCATTTGTCTTTTGAAAACTGATTCTGGAGGAAGCATAGAATTTACTGAACTAGAGATCAAAACACAGACATCACCTGCATTAAAGTGGTGACCTGAAGGCCGGGCGCGGTGGCTCAAGCCTGTAATCCCAGCACTTTGGGAGGCTGAGACCGGTGGATCATGAGGTCAAGAGATCGAGACCATCCTGGTCAACATGGTGAAACCCCATCTCTACTAAAAATACAAAAAAATTAGCTGGGCATGGTGGCGCGTGCCTGTAATCCCAGCTACTCAGGAGGCTGAGACAAGAGAATTGCCTGAACCCGGGAGGCGGAGGTTGCAGTGAGCCGAGATTGCGCCATTGCACTCCAGCCTGGATAACGAGCAAAATTCTGCCTCAAAAATAAAGTGGTGACCTGAAAACCACCGACGTCAACAGGTGATTAGGCAAGAGCAAGAACCATCTGTCTTTAGCCTGTCTTAGGAAGAAAATCTGAGTTTTGAGAAATTTCATGAAGTGTGGAAATTTTAGAGATAAACTTACTCTGAATTCTTTTTTTCTGCTGCTCTATAGCTACAAAATAAATTTCGGGATTTTGTGCAAATATTCCGTGTCTCCTAAGGCCTTGCCTTCTAGTTTTGAGAGAACTCTGTTGTTACCTTTCCCCAGTTCCCTAGTGATCTGTGTTTAGTTATAATGGTATACTTTTCAAATTCTCAGCTACCTAATTTAACCAAGTAGTTTCTACCTGTTGGTCTTGATGTTTAATATTTCTAATGGTGGGAAGAATATCTTGATTCAGAATACCAATTCGCTGTTTTCCTGGTCTTCAGAAAGCAGTTAAAACCAAAATTTTTAAATCTGGCACGCTTTGACACTGTCAATGCTCGTCCAGACAGCAACATAGTCACAAGATTGCCCTGGCTTCTGTTGCAACAGCCACATCGCTAGAGTAATCAATATTAGATGCATAAAAATAAAATGTTTGGCAATTTTTATCTTAATGCAATGGATAGAACGTTACTAACTTAGAAGAAAACAAAAATCTATATCAAAGAAGATGACAGATGGTGTCTGTTGGGCCAAGTGTAAAGATTATAATCAGATCCAAATTCCATCCTCGGTTATTGCTAATACACTCTAACTTTGTTTATTGCTAGTATTTCTCTCTTTTCCCTTCTTGCATTCTGTTGCTTCACTAACCAACACTCGTTGTGATTGGCTAACTCCTACTACTTTTCAGCTGACTTTGCCTTTCTCCAATCAAGATGGGTGCCTTGGGGATGAGGCTCCCTGCTCTCCCTTCTCCCCTTCTCCCAGCTACAAGCTGTCTCCCTCTGGTTCCACACTACCCAACGTCAGCCTTGGAGCAATCGGCACAGGGCTCAACCCCCAAAACTTCGCTGCTAGACAAGTAAGGAGGCCTCTCAAATTTATAACTGCTTGGCTGTGGCCTCGCCTTGGTCCTGGTCTGCAGTTTATTGCATCATTTGTCTGTCTTGGGAAATTTGTTGATTACTGAATGCACAGAATGATATTAAGTGTAGGTTCTAGATCTTTCAGCCCATAGAACCCATCTCTCTTCATGTTTCTCAACATAGATTTTATTTTAAACCTGTTTTTTTTGTCTTCTCATTTTTGATCATAAGTTCATATTTAATAAGTAAACTAATAACTAAGGAAGATGTTAAAGAGGCTACGTAAGTACCTTAGACAGTCTAACTCAATGCATTTGCCATTTTAAACGTTAGATTAGATAAATAATACTTTAGAGATCTTTTCAATTTAATCGACCTGCTAATTTAAAAATAGCAAAACTAGTATGATTAAGTATTTGTGGGTTACAGCATCTTGAAATCTAGTGTCTTTAAGTTTAAAATATAATAATTACCCAGAGAAGGGTAACTTTAAATAGTAGACGGTGAAGCTTTGGAAAGAATGGGTATTGCTCAGACACGGCAGTGTTTCATTGCACCCGGGGTTGGATCTGGCAACCCTCCAGCAAGGGGCTGTGCAGTAGAAACAGACAGGCAGAGCTGGGATGATCAAGCCTCCTCATCTTCCCAGGCCTGAGGGCGCACAGCAGGGCCCTGTCTGCCTTCCCACAGCGGCTCCATTTTAGTTTTTGTGGAAAAAACTAGGAATTTGGAGTCACAGTTCCTTTGCAACAATAACCCCAGCAGTGGTAGCCATGCTTCTGTGATGTGACCTTCACTTCAGGACGTTGTGGGAGGACGTTAATTATACAACTTGTAATCATTAGTTGTATCCACATGATGCATACTTGATGATGTTCTGTCTTCTTATAGTGACTTCCACGTACACATTACATGATGATGTGAAGCAATACCTCTGACACCAGTCACGTTGCACATAGGTCTCTTATATGCTTTCTAATTGTTGCCTGAGCACATTTTAAAAAATGGATTACACTATATCCATGTGTTCGGTTGATTATTTCTGGATTAGGAGTTACAGCTGATTTTTTATTTTCTTCCTTTATATTTCATCATTTTCCTTACTGCTTCCACAGAAGGCATGGATATATATTGTTTATATAAACAGGAAAGAAATGATTATATTGATGTTTTGGGAGTTCTTTTATTTTGAATTGAGGTATAGAAACATGAAACAGGCATAACACTCACAGTGGTGATTATAAATGTGGTTAGATCACATGATTATCAAATGCTGTTAGTACGTAAACTAGTATAGTAAAACCAGCCAAACTAGCCAAGCATTAGGCTCTAATCAAAGGTCATTCTTCATTTTTTTTATCTGTGGATTGCTACAAACTCCATTGTTAACACAGTTTGTGCAGATATCTAAATATGGACATGGTTTTTAAAGACTATTTTAATACAGAATTTTTTTTTTCTTTTTTTTTTTTTTTGAGACGGAGTTTCGCTTATGTTACCCAGGCTGGAGTGCAATGGCGCCATCTCGGCTCACCGCAACCTCCGCCTCCTGGGTTCAGGCAATTCTCCTGCCTCAGCCTCCTGAGTAGCTGGGATTACAGGCACGCGCCACCATGGCCAGCTAATTTTTTGTATTTTTAGTAGAGACGGGGTTTCACCATGTTGACCAGGATGGTCTCAATCTCTTGACCTCGTGATCCACCCGCCTTGGCCTCCCAAAGTGCTGGGATTACAGGCGTGAGCCACCGCGCCTGGCTACAGAATTATTTTAATATACTTCATATGAATAAAATTTAAGATTATTTGGCCAGGCATAGTAGTTCATGCCTGTAATCCCAGCACTTTGGGAGGCCGAGGCAGGCGGATCACCTGAGAATCAGGAGTTCGAGACCAACCTGACCAATACGGTGAAACCCTGTCTCTACTAAAAATACAAAAATTAGCTGGGCATGGTGGCAGGTGCCTGTAGTCTCAACTACTCAGGAGGCTGAGACAGGAGAATTGGTTGAACCCAGGAGGCAGGAAGTTGCAGTAAGCTGAGATCATGCCACTTACCTTTCCAGGCCTGAGGGCTCACAGCAGGGCCCTGTGCCTTCCCACAGTGGCTCTGTTGTAGTTTTTGTGGAGAGAACCAGGACTTTGGAGTCACAATTCCTTTGCAACAATAACCCCAGCAATGGTAGCCATACTTCTGTGACCACTCCAGCCTGGGTGAGAGAGCAAGGTTCCATCTCAAAAAAAAAAAAACCTTAAGATTTCAACTTTCCAAATCACAGAGGATTTTGGTGAGCTTGATAATTTTGTTTTGAATTTGTATTGCTTTTCTGAGTTAAACAGTATAGTTGAAGCAAATATCACTGGACTCAGATAAGTGTAAAAGCCTCCCATACAACAGTAAAGCTTCAGCAGTAGCCACATAAACCGATATTACAACATATACAAGTGCCTTATTTTCCCATTTGTTCTTTAGAGACAGGGTCTTCCTTATGTTTCCCAGGTTGAATCTTGAACTCCTAGCCTCAGCCTCCCAAAATGCTAGGATTACAGGTATGAATCACTGTACCTGGCCTATATAAGTTTTTGATTACCATTTTCGTAATTTCTAAATATTTTTAAAGACCAAATCTGTATAATTGCCCCTGAGTACATCACTGCAAAAATAGCTTTATTGGAGCCAAGAAAATGAGCAGCTTGTGATGCCCAGGTTCCATATTAAGATACAGACAAGGCATTTTATGATTGACTATTGTGGACTTAGCTGTTTTGTTACACATTCCAGATACATATCATAGTGCTTTGTGTGGCGTTGAGGTCACTTGATCATGAAAAACCTAAAACCTATGGTAGAGGAGGGTGAAAATTGTCTGCTGGGAAGAGGAAAGTAAGAATTGATTTTACAGAAGCTTAAAAAGCAAACTCTTTTCAATACTTCTTATCAAAGGAGAGGTTGGAATTTAAAATGACCCCCAGGAAGCAATTTTGTATTTCCCCAAAAATGGATTCTGGCAGGGGTTAGCTACCAGTAACCCGACCATCCAAGGACCAGTCGTGAATAGTTGACATCTAATAACTAAGTCGTGACTTTGATGATCAAGTGAGAAAGATCTTAGCACAATATCCTTGGTAAAATAAATGTTTTCTTAGAGATGATCAGGGTAGCCAAGCTACTGACTACCACGGTCTGAGGAAAGTTAGGGCTGAGCCATTTCACTTTCGAGTGGCAGTCTGATTGGTAAGACAGGAGCAGTAGAGATGTTAAAGTTTCTAGAATTAAAGGCCTACTCATGTTTAAACAACCCTTTGGGAGACGTAAAATTCATGGCAGATATTTGATTTACGAGATAAACATTTTAATTGCCATTTCGACTTTATGTTTAGAATCATTTTTATTTTCAAAGCTTTTAACTTCACTAATTTCCCTGTAGCAGTCCCTTAATCTATTTTTTAATCATTAAGCCATCACAGTATTTTTTGTGTTCTAGGACTTTATGATGCCATAACAAAATTCTTTAAAATTACCTTAATCCCTGTGATTCCAGAGATTTGCTAATGGTGGTGATTTTGATTCAGGGTATACGTACTCAGTATAGTGATGCAGCTATCTTTGCTGAAGATGTTCAGTGGGACATTTTCCAGTGTGTGGAATTGGTGGGTCATGGATATTTACAAATGATATATTCATCCTACACACCAGGGCTTTATTGAATTCTGGGAATACGAAGAGGAAAAGATTAAAGCTGACAGTGGAAAGACAGAATGGAAAATAACCGTAATGTGATTTGATGATGAGTGCCCTCAAAGAGTTTTAAAGTATTTTGAAATTGGAGAGGTGGGCTCAATTAATCTGAATGTGAAATCAGGAAGATGGTTTTGGGGAAGACTTCCTTGACGAGGATGACCTCCAGGCTAGACCTGGAAGAGGTCAAGTGAAGATGGTATCAGAAAGAACCTCAGGCAGAGAGAGCGCAGTGTTGTGTTATCAAATACAGTTTCTTTGCTGAAGGACTTTTCTCAGCTAGAAACGAGTCAGAAAGGAAGGGCCACCATATAACCTAAATCTCTTAGTTATTTCATTGGAATAGTATAGAAGTGCTCCAGTGAGTTGGGTCTCCAGAAATGAGGGAGTTCAGCTAATTTTTTAACTAGACTGACATTCATGGGTTTGAATGAGAAGTTACAGGTGAGTAATGTTTATTTTGGTGTCCCTGTAATGATTTTTACTTTCTCCCTTTCTTTTTTCTCTCAATGTGTGATTGAGTCACATTTCCTCATCTAGCAAAGAAGGGATTGAGCAGATCCAGGACAAGGAAGGGTGCTAGGCTCACTCTTGGACGGCAGAGAAATCATATCACAGTGTTTTATAAATACAACTGTTAACTATTCATAAGCCTGCATTTTTACTCAGGTGCCTTTCAAGACGGAGCTCAGATTATAAAGCTTGAGAATAAATTTGGGAAACACAGTTGCAAAGACAAGTACTTGAAATAAATGCTATGTTGCCTATATCTTTCATTCAGAAAAAAGAATGTAGGACTCTTCCTAATATTTGACTAAATTGAAGCCTTTCCGTTCATAGAGTTCGTCAAACCTTACAGGTGCCCATGATTCAATTTGAGTAATTGCCCTAAGCCTTCTAAGATAAGGAACTTCTCAGTTATGAAATTCTGTTATTCTGTGGAACACAGCCTGTGATTCTTCTGAGGGATCTAAAAGACCAGAACTGTTTCTTACTTGCATTTTCTTAGGTTAACAGAAAGCCTTACTGCTACTCTTCTGTTTACAGGGCGGTAGTCATGGTTTGTTTGGAAACAGCACAGCACAATCGAGGGGTCTGCACACACCAGTGCAGCCACTAAATTCTTCTCCCAGTCTCCGGGCGCAAGTGCCTCCCCAGTTTATTTCCCCCCAGGTAAGCAATTTTATGTTTCTGTGATTCAGAATTAAAAACCATTTCAGGTAGTTATTGGTTGTTAACTGATTTTTGTGGATGTAAAAAGAATAATAATTACTAGCATAAAATATGAAAAAGCCATCTTTTCTTGACCTTTTGGCTAAGATCAAGTAGAGTAAAATATGAAATATCTAGCTGCCAAAGATCAAGACTTTGAGAAGAAAATGTCAAATCTCATTTTTATTGTATCATGCATACCAACAAAGTAGATATTTTTGTGTGAAAAACTTACGAGTCTGTTCCTTTTAGATCTATTTTTCTAACTATATTAATTATTTTGTAATTGAATATAATTAAAACTATAAGTTCTGATGTGTCAACATTCAGAGGCTGGTTGCCCTCAAGGATTCACCCACAGATAAACAAGAGAATTTGGCCTGGCACAGTGGCTTATACCTGTAATCTTGACACTTTGGGAGGCCAAGGCAGGCAGATCACTTGAGGCCACGAGTTCGAGACCAGCATAGCCAACATGATGAAACCCCGTTTCTGCCAAAAAAACAAAAATTAGCCAGGTATAAAGAACAAAACAAAAATGAGCTGGGCGTGGTGGCCACGCCTGTAATTCCAGCTACTCGGAAGACTGAAGCAGTAGAATCATGTACCTGGGAGGCAGAGGTTGCAGTGAGCCAAGATGCACTGCACTCCAGCCTAGGTTATAGAGCAAGACTCCATTTCTTTTTAAAAATTTTTTACTTACTTTTTTTTCTTCCTTTTACTTCCCTTTGGTTGTTTGAGCAAGACTCCATTTCAAAAAAAATCGAGAATTGCCAGATTCTGCATTATTCTGAAAAATTTTGAGGAGCTATATGCCAGCATTGCAAGTAGGTGCTCTAGGGGGAGTTCCAGAACTAATGAAGTAGCAGAGACTCCTGGACTAAACTCTTATTCATAGAGCAGCTCTGTGTGAAATAGAGTCCACTGGGTACCATGGGAACCAGTTAGGTCTGTCCCGTAGTAGGAGATGTGCAAAGAGATGGTCTTTGCTTTTGGGGGTAAAGGGGAGAGATTTGTGTTAGTCTACCACACACTCTCCCCGTTCCTCTTTGTGAGAAAGCAGGCATGAGGTTAGAGTAATAGCTGGTAAGCTCATGTGAGGATTTGCTATATGGCCCTAGTCCCTTCTTAGACTGTTATTTTAATAAACAAAGCTCTGGGTCTGTTTCAACTTGTAAAAGAAGATGGGAGGCCGGGCGCGGTGGCTCAAGCCTGTAATCCCAGCACTTTGGGAGGCCGAGGTGGGTGGATCACAAGGTCAACAGATCGAGACCATCCTGGTCAACATGGTGAAACCCCGTCTCTACTAAAAATACAAAAAATTAGCTGGCCATGGTGGCACGTGCCTGTAATCCCAGCTACTCAGGAGGCTGAGGCAGGAGAATTGCCTGAATCCAGGAGGCAGAGGTTGCAGTGAGCCGAGATCGCGCCATTGCACTCCAGCCTGGGTAACAAGAGCGAAACTCCGTCTCAAAAAAAAAAAAGAAGAAGTTGGGAATGCTGATTAGATCCAACTAGCAGGTTGTAAAGGTTCAGTTTCTGTTACTTGTTTTTGTATTTTTATTTTTTGGAGATACTCTATCACCCAGGCTGGAGTATGGTGGTGTGATTCATAGCTTGTGGCAACCTCGAACTCTTGGGGTCAAGCAGTTCTCCCACCTCAGCCTCCAAGTATCTGGGACTACAGATGCACACCACCAATCTCAGCTAGTTTTAAATGTTTTTTAGTAGAAGTGGAGTCTTGCTCTGTTGCCCAGGCTGGCCTCAATCTCCTGGGCTCCAGCAGTCCTCCTACCTCAGCCTCCCAAAGCACTGGGATGACAGGCATGAACCATCAGGCCCAGCCTCTTTTGTTTTTTTGAAATGCCCTTTAAGACCAGGGCTTAAACTATTTATTTAAAATGATAATCTATAGATTTCAGATTCTAGTTTTAATATTCTGATTCTATGTCTTTCTTAGTGGGGGAGGTCAGGTTCATCCATACCCTTCCCTTACCTCCCCATCACTGCCACCAACTGCCTCGCCAAGGTCTTGCCTGGGAGTCTGGGACTGTGTCCCCTTGGCACCTTTCTTCCTCCTCTTTCTGTCTTTTTAAGTTCCAGTCATCCTTCAAGCCTCAGGTAGTGGTATGTCCTTTCGACAGAGCCATTTCTGACTTCCCCAGCACTCTACAATGGCAGTGTCTTCTGAAGCTTTGGAGCATACACACACTTTACAGTATTGCTGGGTATCAGGCTGACAGTCATCCATGGATATCAAATGTCTGTTGCATATCAGATAATGTCTTCATCATGCACAGATGGAGAAAATGCCATCTCTCTCTCTCTGCAGCCTCTTGGAGTTGGTGGCAGGGGGTGGGTTGAGGTGGGGAGGAGGTGATAGCAGAATAGCCAGCAGATAGTGTGAGAAATGTATAGAAATGTTTGACAGAGTTTGGGAATCTGCTGAGCCTTCACACTACCAGTGACGTTTGAGTCTTGAAGAATGAATCAGAATTTTCTGAGCACACCAGATTAAAAGTGCCTTCTAAGCAGCAGGAGCCTCATGTGCAAGGGGCAATAATACCTAAAAGAACATAGCATTTTGAGGAAAGGCAACTGATTTGAATAATTAGTTAGAGCTTTTTGAAACATACACTGTCTTAGAATAGAAAAGAAAGGAACTAGCAAGAAGTTTGGGACCAAATTTGGAAAAGGTGCTTGTTTTGTTTAGGATTTGGGACTTTGCCCTAGAGGCCAATCCTTGTCAACATGGTTTACAACCATTATTTGGGCTGCTACTTAAAGACACAGTCTCCAGGTCTCCTCCAGTCTCCTGTGACAGGTAGCGTTGGGGCTTAGTCTCCTGCATGTGATCTTTATGTGCACTTAAAGTTTGGCCACTGCTGTAGACAATATACTGTTAAAGATTTTTCAGCTGAGTGGCTCATGCCTGCAATAGCCCTTTGGGAGGCTGAGACATGCAGATCCCTTGAACCCAGGAGTTTGAGATTAGCCTGAACCAAATAGTAAGACCCCATCTCTACAAAATTTTGTTTAATTTTTTTTTTTTTTTTCCGAGGCAGAGTCTTGCTGTGTCTTCCAGGCTGGAATGCAATGGCACGATCTCAGCTCACTGCAACCTCCACCTCCCCAGGTTCAAGCAATTCTCGTGCCTCAGTCTCCCGAGTAGCTGGGATTAAAGGTGCACACCACCACACCCAGCTGATTTATGTATTTTTAGTAGAGATGGAGTTTCACCATGTTGGCCAGCATGGTCTGGAACTCCTGACCTAAGTGATCTGTCTGCCTCAGCCTCCCAAAGTGCTGGGATTACAGGCATGAGCCACTGTACCTGGCCTATAAAAATTTTTTTTATTTATTCAGGCATGGTGGTGTGCACCATAAGTCCCAGCTACTCAGAAGGCTGAGGTGGGAGGATAGACTGAGTCTGGGAGGCAAGGCTGCAGTGAACCATGATCAAGCCACTGCACTCTAGCCTAGGCAACAGAGCAAGACCCTGTCTCAAAAAAGAAAGAAAGAAAGAAACACTGGCAGTAATATAGAAGACCTGTCTGAATGACAGGAGTACTAGAGCAAAGGAGAGCAGCTGCAAAGCCAGTACAGAGTCCAGGTAAGGCGGTGACAGTGAAAATTAACCCTTTCGTGGAAGTCACCTCTGATATTTTTGTTGCATAATACGATGAACTGTTCTCCAGTCTCTTCTTACTCCGTGTATCAGCAGCATATGACAGTTTCCCTCCTTTCTGAAACACTTCATGCATTTGGCTTTTGGACACATACTACACTGGTTCTTCATCTGCCTCTCCTTCTCCATCTCCTTTACAAGCTCCTCCTCACGTTTCCAGTACTTAATCAGGAGAATGCCCCAGATCTTAATCTTTGAACCTCTCCTCACCATCTGTAGTCACTGCCATGTGATCTTACCCAGTGAAATGCCTTTAAGCACTAAATTCCAAAATTATGTCGTCCACCCACATCTTTTTCCCTCAACTCCACAGACTACTGGACATCTCTCCTAGGGTGCCTTACAGGTTAACATGTTCAAAACACAGCTTCTGATCTCACCCCACACTGCCCTCAAAAACATCCCCACACTCCCAGTAAATGGCACTCTCATTCTATAGGAGTTCAGGCCAAAGACCTTAAAGCTAGTCGTGACTCCTCTCACTGACCACGTTCATTCCATCAGTAAAACCTCCCTTCAAACCGCTATTCAAAATCGGACTCTTTTTCACCACCTCCCACAGCACAGGCCCTGGCCAAGCCACCACCGATTCTGTCCAGGTTATTGCAGTGACTTCCTGCCTTTTCCCCACCCTGCTTCATTCAACACTTGCCTGTCTGAAGTCTGAGTCAGACTGATTCTCTGACACTGCACTGTCTAATGTGAAAGCCACATCAGTCCCTGAGATGTGGCTACTGCGCTGCAAGAACTGAATTTTACATTTTATTTTAATTAATTTAAGTAGCCACATCTTGTTCGTAGTCACTGCGTAGACAGCACAGATTTTGAACATTCAGTGTTGCAGGAAGTTCTGCCCAGCGCTGTTCTAAAACAAAAGGCAGATTGTGTTACTGATTTACCGGGAATCCCCTTGTGGCTGGTTCTCTCACTGAGAAAGCAAAGCAGAGACAAAGTCTTGAACTGTAGGCTTTGAGGTTCTTGGTGATTCCCACCTCCCCACAAGTACAGGCCGCTCTCTCATGCCTGCATACTGCCCCAGCCAACTGGCCCCAACACACCAAGCATACTCTTAGAATGCTCTTTTCCCAGATGGCAGCCTGCCTCGATCTTAGTTCCTTCAGCTCTCTGCTTCACTGCCACCTTCCCTAGAAGCTTTCTCAGGGCAGCTGCTTACACTGTGCTGCCTGCCCTGCCACGCTTGCTCCTTGTCTTTCTCCCTCTCTAGCCTGTCCCTAGGAGTGTAATAAGCTTCACAGTGGCAGGGTCTGGGCCT